CTTTGCGAAAAAAAAGATGTTACGCTAACCACTTTAATGTGCAAGACGACGAGGAAGACTTCCGTGTGATTACACCTCTAGCTCACACGTTTGGCGCTATGTCGCGCGTCGTTTTTTTCCAAACTATAGGAAGTAAAAAGAATTCTTGCAAATTTGCCAATTTCGAGCTGTAAAGCTGTAGAATTCGAGGGAAATTTTCTGCGATCGAAAACTCGAATCGCGCAAGCATTAAATCGTATAATATGTATATCAGGCGCACGTGCAGCAATTACCGCAAAGGGAGATATATTTTCCTCTCTCTCTGTTCGTGGGCACACCTGTTGCTCGCACACACACACACACACACACACTTATAACAGTGCACTCCTGTATACATACGCGTTGGTTTAAGATATGTATACGCGCGCGGAGTTGGAGAATGAGAGAAATCGATTTCTGGTGCCTCGTATAATTGAGCGGAAAATGAGCCCAGCAGCAGCAGCAGCAGCAGCAGCGCGACTCGAGTAGCCTAGGCTGCAGCGATGCATTTTTTCTGAACCGTATACTCTCGTTTGCGGGGCAGCTCTCTCGCTCTCTGCATATATATATATCCGCGCAGGTACACACATAGCGGTAAGGAATTGAACGTTTCAAGAGCCTCGGCGGAATGCAGAGGTATTTTATAATTATAATCCCGAGTCGAGCATTTGGTAGTAGAGATCGGTAGGCGATCGGTAGTATAGGAAAGACCGCGACCGCGGCGCACAATTGTCAAGCGATCGAATCTCACCGCGCGCTCGCATTGTGTACGCGTCGTCGACACTTTCAATTTCAGACCTCGGAGACCTGCACGCGCCGTTGTTGTTGTTGTTATAGGCTCCGATCGTGACCCGAATGCAGCCTAGCTCCTATTATGCTCGTTTATAATTGTGCGTGTAGTATATAAAGCTCGCATAATATCTCGGCGCGGCGTGCGAACCAGATCCCGAACGCGGATTAAAATATATACACGCGCGATATTGGACTTTATGCTCGCGGGTGGCGGGCTTCGAAGCGCGCGTGACCTAGAAGGAAGGATCGGCGCCCGCCACCGCCGTCGACGATGATAACCTACTATCCTGGAAAATGTCTCGCTCAAGCGCGCACACGTGCGTGCTCGTACGTATATAATAGAAAGGAATTAAGTAGTCGCTCTCAAAAGAGAGAGAAGGAAGAGAAAAAGAGCCTAGAGGATCATCGCGTGTGCGAGGAGAGGCCCCGCCGCACCGTTTGACCGTGCGAATAGCTCGTTTATTTGCATGAAATTGCATTATTTTTTTCCCTCTCGGTTTAATCTCCGGTTTATTACGCATATCTAAAGTTCTCTAGTAGTAGTAGTAGTTTTCTCCTCTTCTCCTTTTTTTCTCTCTCTCGTACTGCCGCATTCAGGAATAATTTAATACTCGTAACGCAGTCAGCCACAGCGACAGCAACAAGTATATAAGTACCTGTAACCACGATGATCGCGCATATATATACGTATAACTCGATGCTCGCGCATCCGTTCGATATCTATAGATATATATCTATACAGCGGCGGCAGGTATATTAGCTGTACATTATTATAGGTATACGACGCGCAGGTGTAAACGCAACTCGACGGGGCAAGCCTATATATACACTCGCCTTCGGAAAAGTGACGAAACGGCCCCGTACAGAGAACCGCGAGTGAAAGTCTCGCCTGCTGCCGCGTCGTGGTGCGTTGAACTTTTGCCGCAGCGGCACATGCATCGGAGCCTCTCGCATACTTATGTATATACGTATAAACATATTATTCAGGCACGCATTCGACGAGATAGGACGTCGACTCGAGTAGCAGTATAGAATATAGATAGAAATAGGTATTTGTCAATCGCGCGTCGAGGTGCGCAGGTAGTAGACGTGCAGCAGTCCGCCGATCGTCAAGAGCGATCGGTATAATATAATGCGCGCGCATGTATAGCGGCTTGCATCATCGCGTGGCGACGCGTTCGCAGATTTCAGCGCAATTCCTCGCGGCTAGCTAGCTAGTTAGCTCTGCTCGTCTCCCCTATTATAGCGGCTATGCGATCCAGGATCTTGCGTAATACATTCGCGAGCTCTCTGACCGATTGAGAATCTCATTTTCAGACCTGGTGACGATTTCGCGATCTCTCTCGCTCTCTGATTCGAGCTGGAACTAATGCGTGCATTTGTCAACCCCCGATCCGCATTCCGATGATGATCAGTTCCGAACGCGATGCGCGAACCAACTATTTCTCTTCCTACGTTCGCTCGATATTATCCTCAACGAGTCTACGAAAAACGCAGACCATATAAGAGAATATTTTTGCGTTGCTTCGTGGCTCGTCATGCCCCAATTCTCATACCCCTGCTGATGCTGCTGCTGCTGCTGCTGCTGCTGCTGCAGGGGGAAACGATTTTACGTGTGTGTGCTCGTCCAAAGAGTCTACTTGCTACTGCTAAACACGCACAATCATATACAATTTTGTATATGCTGCTGGGCTAAACAGTTTACTTTGTTCTCTATATTTTGCGGATGACAGTATGATTGGATCGAGTGTTTTTCGTGTAGCGTATATACATACGCTCTTACATCAGTCAGAAGTATATCGAATATGAGTACGTAGTTTTCTGTTGAGTTTATGTGCAATGTGAAATCTTAAGTAATGCTATAGATGGAAATGATGTAAAATCTGGCTTTGACTGATACAATCATTTTCACTTTGCCACTTGCAGATTTACAGTCGATGGGGGTACTCGCCACCTAGCGGTAAAAGCTGAAAGTACATGTGTATTCGTAAACTAGTCAGATTTTTTTGAAATCATCAAATAGTTATTTCAGGTCTTTTAATATACGATTGTTATTCTTAACATAATCGTAATAGAAAAATCGCCAAAAGCCAATTAGCGATAAATTAAATTTCAATGTTCATTTTTTGGTCATTGGACCATATTATTAATATTGAACATTTCTACCAGGGTAATTATTTTATTGGTATCTGGAATTTGGTTTGTTGATTAAAATCATAATGTAGGAGCGGAGAGCGAGCAACGAGCAACAACTATATATCTCATTTTCCCTCTTCAACGAGCCCGCGAAACGCTTCTAAATTTTAATAGCCAAAACGATGAGTAATTTGTTCGCTGCTGAATACAGCTTAAAATGCATATCCAAATGAACATACACGCAGACGGCCTAGCTGTGATGATGCTCGCCTATACTATGTATACAGATATGCCTACGTAATGCCCGCGCGAGCAAAATTTACGAGCGAATAAAGTACATTTTTTTCTCATTAAGAGAGTCCGCGCGGGGGGTGGGCAGCCGCTGCGTTATATATTATGTGCGAGCGCAACGAGAGAATATGCACGTGTAATAATAATGATTTTTGAGCGGCGCAGATTTGCGGTCTGGCTTTTTTGCCACGCATGGATATGATTTTCGTTGGTAATGTGAGCATATATTTATGTAAAGTACACGTGCGCTTCCAAACTGCAGCCGCTTAATATATGTATATCGTTTCGTGGACTAATAACGCGTGGCTAATTTAAGCCACGGATTTTCCACGCGCACGCGTATATTATTGCGGAGAATCTCTCTGCCCGTTCAGCGGGATTTTCATCTAAACAGGTACATCGCGCATAACGTAAGAGGAATTTAACTTTGAAATAGCTCGGAAACTCGCTCGAATGTAATATCAATTTTCTTTTCCGCGATACGTGATGCAGGTTTAGATTGGGCTTCTTATAGAATACGCGACTATGCGGTATTGGATAACGAGATAAGCAGCGAAAGATTCGAGTACGAAATTTGAGGCTCGACTTCTTATTTTGATAGTTCCAATTCGGACACTAAGTGCGGTTTATCCCGCTTGTATACTCGATTGGATCTGTTTATGTCTAAGATCGTGAGACTTTTAGGCAATCGTCGCGATTTTTAACTTTAATAAGAAATGTTCAACATTTTGATTTTTGGTTAGTTTTTGACCAACGATAAAGTTTCTTTCATCCCCCAACAATAAGAAGAATTGGAAATGTTGTAAAATCTTTCATTGACTTAAACACTTATTTTGACTTTGTCACTTGCAGATTTACAGAATTATGGCACTCGCGATCTAGTGGTGGAAACTTAAAACAGTATAATCCAATCTAAAGTGGTTGAGAGCTGGACTCAATTTGTTTGAAACATTTTAAACGGTCAATTTTTTGGTCGTTAGGCCATTATAAATGTTGATCATTTCTATCAGGGACTGTGTGTTCGATGAAGTTGAGAATCTGGCATCAATTTCATTTTCGCAACAAAATATTTTGACAAAAATAAAATAGTAAATCAGAGCTGCACTTCATAGGATTCGAGTGAATTAAAAACAGAGGAACGCGTGAAAAAAAATTCGATTCGTGCGCTCGTATCTTTAATTAAAGGCGGTGCATTGTTGCGCGCAGCTGAAGGCAACTAGTCGCTGCGGTAGGTGGTGTACCTATGAGCCGCGGCGCACGCGAGACTGCGTACGTGTGTCTACGTGCACCAGAGATCGCGCAGAGAGTCAAGGGGGAGTATAGTATAGAAAGCCTTTGGTGCACTACCTACATCAGACTTCCGCGCTCGGCCGCGGAATCGCTTCCGTTTTACGCTACGTAAGTTATCGCGTATAGGTAAAAGCTGCGGTGCACGCATGGATGCATTATGTGCGCTTATGCATAGTGTAGCTCTGCTGTATACAACTACGAGACTCTTGGGTCTCTTATCTAAAGCGGCGTTTCACGTGGGAGGGGAAAAATGAACTAATTAGAGCGCTATTATTTCTTTTTTTTTTTTTTTATTTAAATCGAATGAGTTTTATATACCGAACCGGGGCTCTCATTTATTCGCTGGTTAAGTGATTGAAAATTATGCATGGCTAATTGAAAGTTCTTTCTTATAACTTCGGATACTTTGCCTATCCTCCCTCACCTCTGTCGAATTTGAAAAATAACAAAGAAATATTTCAAAATTCTTTCAGGACCGAGATGAGCAGACCCGTCTGGAGATGAAACATCGCAAGGAGGAGGACGATCTGTACAGAAAATTCGCTCACCATCGCGAGGAGGAGGATCGGCGCATACGCGAAGAGTTTCGGGTAAGCAAACTTAAAATTGTCACATTCATGTGGATTAAAAAAATTATAGGATGATAAAACCAAAAACTTTCTATGCCTCTACCGCTATTCAGGATGAGTGGGAAAAGGAGCTGGAGCAGCTGTCGGAGAAATGGGAGCGCAAACGTAGCAGCCAGCAGTTCCAGCAGGAACGCGACGACCTGGAGAAGAACATGACACTGCGCAGGGACAAGAAAAAGGAGAGCCTCACCCGCAAAATGCTCGAGCACGAACGGTACTTACGACTCTGTAATAATTAATTGCCTCACTAATCAGCTTTATATTTATAACAACGATTTTGTGCCTTGTCTATACAGCGCCGCGACGGCCGCCCTCGTCGAGAAGCAGAGCTCGGAGATGCTCGAGCTGATTAACGAGGCGCGCAGCGAGTACATGCAGCAGGAGTCGCTCTACATCGACGAGTCGGGCGTCGACTACGGCCTGCACGGCTGCGGGCCCGACGGCGCCGGCCCGCCCAGTCCCTACCCATCTCGGGCCCCGCCACCCCAGCCGCCCAGCCTGGCCAAGTATCACCTGTACAACGATCCGCTGGAGTTCGCCGACATCGACGAGATCGCCATCACCGTCGCCCAGGAGGATCAGAAGACCTTCACCGATCTGGTGCGTCAGCTGGTGAGCAAGTGCGGCTCCGACATCGAGAAGGCCCGCACCATATTCCGCTGGATCACCGTGAAGAATCTCAACACGATGCAGTTCGATGACAATCTCCGTGGCGACACCCCGATGGGTCTGCTGCGCGGCATCAAGCACGGCACCGAGTCGTATCACGTGCTGTTCAAGCGGCTCTGCAGCTACGCAGGGCTCCATTGCGTGGTGATCAAGGGCTACAGCAAGTCGGCCGGCTACCAGCCGGGCGTCCGTTTCGAGGACAATCGCTTCAGGAACAGCTGGAACGCCGTTTACGTGGCGGGCAGCTGGCGTTTCGTCCAGTGCAATTGGGGAGCTAGGCATCTGGTCAATGCCAAGGAGGTGCCGCATCCGGGCCAGCCCAAGGAGAAGAGCGACATTCTCAGGTTGGTTTAAATGAGCTGCGGCTGCGAGAAAAGTGTTACGCTGTGTACATACAATACATACCTTGTTTCACAGGTACGAGTACGACGACCATTACTTCCTAACGGATCCGCGAGAATTCATCTACGAGTTCTTTCCGCTGCAAGAGGAGTGGCAGCTACTCAAGCAGCCCATATCTCTCAAGGACTTTGAAGAATTGCCCTTTGTTCGCTCGCTATTCTTCAGGTAGATAATCTCCGCGCGTTGATCTATTTTCTACTGCTGTCGTCTCCTCTCTACTCTGTGTGTTCTCGTATTATAATTTTGCGTTCGCACGCGCCCTTCTTCTCTCCCCACAGATACGGCCTGTACTTCCCGGACACCAACACCAACGCAGTCATGTACACGGACGCGACCGGGGCCGCCACCGTGCGGATAGCCATGCCGGCCAACATGCAGTCCTCCCTCATCTTCCACTACAATCTCAAGTTCTACGACAGCGACGGCGACAACTACGACGGCGTGTCGCTCAAGCGCTTCGTCATGCAGTCCGTCGTCGGGAATCTCGTCGCGTTCCGCGTGCACGCCCCGTGCTCGGGCTCGTTCCTCCTGGACGTGTTCGCCAACGCCGTCACGCCCAAGGAGTACCTCACGGGCGAGCCGATGAAGTTCAAGAGCGTCTGCAAGTTCAAGATCGCCTGCGAGGAGCTGCAGACGGTGATGGTGCCGCTGCCCGATTGCGCCAGCGGCGAGTGGGGCCCGACCAAGGCTACGAGACTGTTCGGCTTGGTGCCCATAACACACCAAGTGAGTACCCAAACGCGGAAACGCGTAATATATACCGATTCGTACAACCGATTCACTTTTTTTTTATCGCTGCAGGAGGCTCTGGTGTTCGCTGGACGCGAGCTCGAGATTCAGTTCCGCATGTCGCGCCCGCTCACCGACTTCATGGCGACGCTGCACAAGAACGGCATCGAGGAGAAGCGACTGTCCAAGTACGTGAGTCACACGGTGACCAACGACGACGTCGTCACATTCGTCATCAGCTTTCCCGAGGAGGGCCAGTACGGCCTGGACATTTATACGCGCGAGTCGACCACGCCGACACATCACGACGCGATGGGCGAGAAACACTTGCTCACGCACTGCTGCAAGTACCTAATCAATTCCAGTAAGAGAAATTAGAAACTCGATCGACGTTATTATTATTTTCTTATTACTTCTGATATATAATGTAAATATTTCAGTATCTAATTATTTATGAATTTATTTATACATGTATACAGTTTTATTTATGTACGTTGAAGCATTGAAAATTTATACGAGTGGTTTATATTTATAGTCATGTCTCAAGATTATCGATAGATTATGGTTTTTTTTTCTTCTAAGTCAAGATAACACAATTATATCTTACTAAAGGTTCATCCCAAACATTTGATGTAATAACACAGACTGCAGCGTGTAATGACAATAATAATTTTTATATTCTATTTTAATCCAAGAATCACATCAATTAGTGTGAAACAAGCAGTTACCTTCTGTAATAAATTTGTTGCCTTGATTTTTACTTAAGTTTAGTCGTACTTTAGATTTATTGAAATTTTCAACTGTGAGCAGATTCGCTTCGCAAAAAAATATATTTATTGTACTTCATAAAAAAAACGATGTTTCGAATAATGAAGGTGCATTTAGATAGAAACTTAATTTATGTATTTTTTTTTTAGGATTTATCATGCTCTAATTTTTGTTAGTAAGTATTATGAATAATTTTGTACTTATGTATGATAAACTAGATGTATCAAATTAAACATTTAGTTGTGCTAATTGTAATTTTATTATGTATTGAGAAAGTTTTTTGCTCGTGCACAAATCATTCACGAATCATATTTATCTAAAATCCAGATGTGAGATGACACTTGCCGAGTAGAATAAAATAACGCAACTGAAAAGAAACCCGAAAATTTGTATATTTTATAAAAATTCAAAGGTTCAGATTATTTTTAAGAATGTAGATGCAACGATAGCTAATAAAACTAAAACTGTACTGAATGCTAGTAAAAAAAAGAGAGTATATTTAAATTATGTTACATTTACTCATATCTCAAATTATATTTTGGTTTTGAATTTTATACGAGATGAGATATTACTTTTATGTAATTAAAAATTTATTTATAATTTTGTATAATCAAAAAATACAGCTGAGAAAAATGTCAAAGTTAACCCAAAGCCTGGAATATGGAAAAATGTGAAAATTATTGAATGTTTTTTCTGACATTTCTATTGAGTCATTTTCTTCGAAGCTCGTAAATACCTTCGCTTTTTATTAGCCATTTACGTGGCTTGTTAGAAAAATATTTCATTGTAAACGCAGAAAATATTTTCTATAATATTCATTGATATTCAAGTTTCGCGTAACTTATCAATTAAATTGGCATTTTTATTTCAGTGAGCACAAATTTATGTAGAAGATGTAATTATTGCAAAATGTAAAATATTTTAAAATAATAAAAAAATTATAACTATTTAGATTCATAGCGTCTCAAATTACGATATTCCTTACTTGAATAATGAAAAACAGAATCTATCTAGATGTATTTTCACAAAATGTGTACTGATACATGAATCTATTTACTAAATTGTTCTTGGAAATTCATGATTGAAGGGCAATCACCTCTAAAAAACCATCATATCAGTAAAATTAAAAATTTATTAAGTATTAAAGCACAAGGAGAATAAGTTGTAATAAATAACACATGTTTAAGATGTTCAAATTGTTTGTTTTATTGAGGAAGGAAAGCCTTTTTATCTCTGTCTTTACTTATAAGTGACAAAAATGTTCATTTCAACATGCGTTCATATTAGACAAACTCGAACAAAAACACTCCAATAAAAATAAAAGTTGTACAATTTTTTAACAATTTGATTGTTTAAAGTTTTTCGTCTGAGAGTTTCAAGTGTTATAATTTGCAGAAAATCTGCTCGAGTTCGCCTTTTTAAATTTGAAAATTAACAAGCAACTTATAAAGTCAGAAACATCGAAAAATTTTGTGTCCAGGTACATTATTTCAACCAAGTTTTTCTTTTACTTTCGAAACAAAAGCGCAGTGCAATATGATTAATGAATTCACTAATCTGCGTCAAGTAAAAAATGCTACTCCACAATCAAAAATAAGAAAGTCGTGACATTCTTATACAAATTTTTCTGAAAAAAGCATTTTTTTGTTTTACAAATTTTAAAGTCGAAGTTTCATTTTTTATAATATGTAAGTTAAGAGATACGCAGGCTTTCTATAAGTTTAGAATTTTTCGCCAAAATTTCTTTACACTCATTCGTGTAAACACATACTTCTTGTTGAATTTAGAACCACCCTAGACGTTTATTGTTTAAAATTTATTTTCAAGTTGGGTTGGAATTTGAATCATGTTTGCGAACTACGAGCTCGACTTTCAGTATGAGCTCGAAAATCGCAAATTCTTTTGTTCCCATAAATAATATGTTTTACTTATCAATTCAAAAATTTTAACTTTGGATAACAGCATTACATAGAAAGTACAACGAAAAACGCTCATTTTCTTTCTACAGTTGTACCCCGATAAATTCTTTGACAATTTAAAGGTACTTTTCATCAGTCGAGACGGTATAAAGCATAAGGCAATGCATTGCAAATACAATTAATACATCAAGTCGAAATTAATTTTCTAACTTGATAAACGGATGTACAATTTTTCAACGTACTGATGAAACCCACACAATTTTTTTAGAATGTTAAAACGAAATTCTATGGAACCACCGATAATTGAAACTTAACAAATTTACGGAAAAAGAACCAGTTTTTTCTTTCAAATTCCTTATAAGTAGCTGATATTTTTTCTATTTTTTTTTTGTATAATTTTTTTCATTTTTCATCCAATTTCCAAATCATTTGAAACTCTTTTACAAGGTGTGACGGCATGTTCCTTAGCAAGATTGCTAAATGGTTCTGATGAGTTGAACTGTTGTTTTGGGCACACCTTGCAAACGAGTAAGCGATTTAGAAACTGGCGTACATAAAATTACAACGAAAAAGTCGAGTTTGCAACTGTTTCCAGCTACCTTTTCTTTCAGTTTGGATCCCACATGTTCATAGTCAAACTTCAAACAATGCAAATCGACTTTTTCGCGCGTACGATGTAAAAAGAAAACATCGAGTATGTACAGCTCGATATAACCCGTACGTGATGGATGATTTTAACGGCTATCTCGACATATCTGTCGATCAGCTGTAATGTTGCGTATCTAGTCAGAGTGATACGCCGTGCAGGGCCGATGTTGCCCGCAAAACTTTTTTGGCATCGGATAACAAAGCTGTTTGACAATTAAAAATCCGATAAAACGCGGTCTACGCTTGAGACCACGATTTTCATCTCATGCCTGATGTTATCGTACACAAATGACAATCATTTTCGTATCATCATAAGTTGTTGTTGAAACAATAACAGCGACGGCTGAGATAAATAAAACATTATCTCGGCATGAACGATATTTGCATTCAAGTGCGGCTCTAATACGGGTACAAAAGCGTTTTTTTCACACCTCTCATTGACAATTGATCATTATTTGTACAAAATGTTTAGCGAGCTTTTGAGATGCTTCTTTGCAAATGTTAACAATTATTTTTACCGCTTTAAATGGATGACACACTGCACCCGTATTCAAGTCAACAATACAATAATTTCGTTCGCAATTTCAAGTTATTACTAATAATATTTCGCTCAAATACACACAGTCACGCATACTTCATTGGTGTAAATAAAAGAGGAGTGGAAAAAAGAAACGGTTAAATGGATGGGTAAACAGGAAAAAGTTGAGAGGAGATGGAAACTATGCATTTGGTCGGGTTATTCTACAGGAGTACACAGAGGACCCAGGTATAGTCGAAAGATAGGCAAGCATACCGCAGCTCAAGCACACCTCTTATACAATATTTATACAAAATGTCGAAGATCACATTCATTCATTCGCATATTCATAGAAAGTTTTTCACAATTTATCGTTATAAACGTAACACACAACGGTCTTTCGTTTTTGCGCTGTTTGACCTCATTTCGCTCAAATCGTTCACTCAATCGCGATGGTATACACATTTTTAGTTGAAATTTCGGACGCGGAGAAACTGATTTATGCATCGAACTCGACGAAATTTCTCTTTCTCTAAATATTTTTTTTTCAATACGTCAATTTGTATATCAAGTGCGTTTTTTGTTTGTATCGGAGGCTCGGTTTGAGAGTTAGAGAATCATCAAGTTGGATTATAAAGTTTCTCAGTGTTATTTTCATGCTTTTTTCCATCGACGTGCGCTTATTTCGATCGACGGATGAACGGCTCGAAATGAACTTCAATTTTTTTATATTTACTTGTACGTATTATACGACAATATATTATATTTCTATATAATCGGTTCGTTCATTTTTGTTTTGTACACAGTCTTAGGTCCAACGCGTGATTGTTTTTTTTTTCATTCAAGAGTATAAGTGTGTATTGCGTTCGTTAGTTTTGTATATGCATCGTATAATATTAATTATATAATAATAATCGTTAGTAAATTATGTATATATTTACAATAGAGATGCGAATCTTTGCTTTGCGGAACACGATTTCGTCTAAGTTACTGGGAGCAGTCGTTTTCTTTCGTGGTACACCGGGCACGACGTTAATTTTTGGGGTCGCTCTTTTCGCTTTGCGGTACCGTTAGCAAAATTCGTATTCAAGCATTTAAAGTTCATCGTGGTATTCACACTTTCTTCCCTTTTCACATCGAAACACGTTACTATATAATCTGCACATAATGTATATCATTAAATCACAATATCATCATTCGCGTAAGCACGAAGTCATTCCTTGCCGTTCTTCAGTCTATAAATCGCGCAAATATTATATATGTGTAATAAATAGGAAAAAATTATTCATCTTCACCGTTCTTATTTAAAGCCCCTCGACAAAAATCGAGTATCACACGGCGAAAACGATGAAAAACAGAAGAGAAAAAAGTAAATGAACGCCCAGAGAAAAAAGACCATAACATTCAGTATTTTGTACAAGAAAAAGAAGTTAATCGATCGATTTTGGTCGTGAGTAGTTATTATCATGTGGCTCGCTATTATGCACGACTCGCTTCTCTTTCAATAGTTCTTATTTTTTCTCTTACGTTTCTTTTTAAACCTAGGTCACCGTGGCTGGTTTTAGGCTCATGCAATTCATTCTTTTTGCAAACAAATACTTGAATCGATTTTGGTCGGATGAAGTGTCGTTTGAACACTGAATATTTTTTCAAGACCTTTGATTAAATTTTTCTTAGATTAAAATCGTAATTCTGGATTCGGTTAGCTCGTTTGTTTGCTTTTTAACTTTTTCAATTTTCATTATATCGGTTTTGCTATAAAAATGTGTATCTGATCAGCATCAATAGGTCTTGCGTACGTTTAAGCTTAAACCTCGACTGAACCGTTTTCCACCCTATTTTGATAATTTTCAAACGCTATCAGAGAGTTTCTCAAGACCGAATAGAAAGTAGACCAGTCACTTTGACGAAAGAGTTAATATTTCGTTATTTTCTCTTTTCAGCTTTATCACTCGTATTCACGAATTCGTATCGCGTGCTCCAATTTTTGATAAATGATTTTTCCGGTAGGAGCATGTCTTTGAGTAAATTGCAAAATAATAACTGACTGCGTTAATAAATCGGATTAAAAATGTAAGAAAAACTCTAAATTGAACGTTGATTCTAATAGCGCTCGAGCAGAAAATTATACAAAGTTTTGAACGATTAGAAAGCAAATTCGCTGCTTTCAACCACTTTTGCATTCACAAGGAAATGAAATCTTCAAGAAACCAAACTTTATGTATAAATTTACATATTACGCTCGCAATGCCTTTTGATGCTTTTCAGTTCACATTAAATGTTGGTAATTTGATATTGCCCACCAGCCAGATGGTTTATTTTATAAAAATAATTATATAAAACTAGTCGATTTAACAATCTCTGACACTCAATCTCAAGTACCTTAAAAACCCGATAGTAATTGATTCGTATTCATCGAGATTTCTAAAAATTCGGAAAAGTAACGATTACGAGAAGTACATTGATGTTGTGTTTTAGGAAAATATTTTTCAGTAGCTTTTCCAGCAGTGATCAAAATATATATCTCGTTTCTCGTTGTGTAGAACGAAAAATCGATTGAATTTCAGAGTTGTGTTGACAGTATTAAGCAGGCAGAGTCAAGTCACGGTCGGCGATACACGCTATACATATTCCTTCTCCACTCATATATAATTCAGTTTTTTGTTATGCTACAGAGCAAAGTATAGCATAATGAGTTTATGTGGATTGACATTGATTATCGACAATTGATTAATTTCTTTAAAGTCATTCACTCATGCATTGACTGCAAATTTAATTTCATTATAAACTCAAAGTTTAAAGTTTTTAGCATGCACGTTTGTATAATGGGTGTCAGAATAGTATTTTAAATACTATTTGACACTGTACATTAACATTCATGTTTTACTGTATAAGAATTTACAATTAACCGTTCGTTTTTTTCTACTTTCTCTTTATGAATATTGTGGTTGTGTTGTAGTATTTGACGGTGGCTTGACTTTGCACTATAATAGCATATGTACATTTAATTGTATTTATATACAAAGAATGACTCGCACTGGCACTCCAATCACTTCTTTCACTGAGTCTACCAAGTGCAAATGATTATTTTCATGCTCAGTAATACCTTATTTACAAGTAGTAGTTTTCTTTGCTTATTAGACTATACTTATTCTTCATGATTTTGCCTTGCTTTGAAACTACGCAAATTGCCTATTCAAACAATTTGTAATTGGTAGCACTGATAAACAATGTGTTGAAAGTCTTCATCGCCTCACTTCAATAAACACATGTTTATCGTTTTCAATAAACCATCAGACTTAAGTAACACAAAATGTTTTATACCCCACTTTGAGAAAGTTTGTTGAGGTATGCTTTCAGTCACACTCCAAAGTTTTTTTTAGTTTTTTGGGCACAATCACTTAAAACACTTCATGCAGCTTCGAGTGATTATGAAATTTGGATATTGATGAAGTTGTAGAACTACTTGGACACATTACCCTCCTCTAAAATACTATTATCTTCAGGTCTTGCAACATATAAGCAAGGATCAATAACTTTTGGAATCGGCTTGATTTCAGTTCCAAGCTCTTGTTCAATGCGATGCAAATTGAAACGATCCTCATAGGTGATTAGATTGATTGCTATTCCCAAGTGACCGAACCTTCCTGAACGACCAATGCGATGCAGATATGTTTCAGCCATTTTTGGGAAGTCAAAGTTAATCACAACATTGACAGCTTGAACATCAATACCACGCGTGAACAAATCACTGCAAACCTGTAAAATATTATTTAATGAGCATAAGCAAAAATTTTTCAACATCTCTTTATATTTAATTTTTCAATAGCTGTATTCATGTATTTAGTATTTTAATTTTGACTGATTCAAACTGTAGATGTTAAACTTATAAATTTATACAATGAAAACAATTCACATTGACTTTTTTTTTAATTAAACAAAAATAAATTAATCTTACCAGATTTCGGCAAAGTCCTGCACGGAAGTCATGAAATACGCGATTCCTGTGCGCTTGCGCCATTTTCGCGTGAATATAATAACAGCAATATCCCAAATCCGTTATCTTCTTTGCTAATAATTCAACGCGCTGCGTTGTATTACAGAAGATTATGCTCTGGTTGATTTGTAGCTGAAAATAATATTAACAATGATAATAAATTTAAGTTTTACTAGATTAATACCAACAATGTTGAATAAATTTTATTATTTGGTCAAGTACCTTGGAGAATAGCGTGTTCAGGCAATGGACTTTTTGACGTTCCTGCACAAAAGCATAGTATTGTGTTACACCTTTCAATGTTAACTCTTCCATAAGATTAATTTCGTATGGATCTTTCAAGTGTTTTTCCATGAACTGCTTGACCGTTAGAGGGAAAGTTGCTGAATATAACAAAATTTGACGTTCTTGTGGTAATCTGGAATAGAAAAATATTTCATATTATTTCATTTATTTTCATTGTAATTTAGAATTAGTATAAAAGTCTTTACCTAGAAATAACGTGATCCAACATTCCTTTGAAATCTTGTGACAGAAGTTTGTCAGCCTCATCAAGAACCAAAATCTTACAGTATTCCATGTTAGCAACATTTTTATCCATGAGATCAAGAATTCTTCCTGGTGTTGCAATAATAACTTGCACTTTCTGATAAATTCTCATGATATCATCGCGCAAGTTAGTTCCACCAGTGGTAACCATGACTTTCACATCCATATGTTTTGCTAGTTCAATCAAGATTTGTGACGTTTGCAATGCCAACTCTCTAGTAGGTACAATAATTAAAGCCTGAATAACATCTCTCTTGGGATCAACCTATGAACAAAAGACAGGAAAAAACACATTTTAGAATATGAAAAATATTTCTGCATAAAATTTCAATTTGTTAACATTCCATTAACACTAACTTGTTCTAGTACAGGGATTGAGTAAGCTCCAGTTTTACCAGTTCCATTTTTAGCACGAGCCAAAACATCTTTACCAGAAAGAGCAATTGGAATACTCGCTTCTTGAATTGGCGAAGGCTTCTCCCATCCTTTTTCAAAAATCCCCATGAGAAGTTCACGTTTCAGACAAAACTCATCAAATTCATTTCCTCTTGTATCTGTTACATCCTGTTTAAAAAAACAAACCAAAAAAACAATTTAATCATACAATGTTTAATTTTTAATTTGCTATGCTCAAGTAAATGTTATAAAATTTTGTTTATACTCACACTAGTCTTAATACGTTTGTCTTTTGGTGGAATTTTTAGTTTGGCCTTCCAACCAACATCATCTAATTTTTCCATATCTGCTTTCAAAGCAAGACTAGAGTTTAAAACATGGTTAGAATTCATAACTGTTTCGGTCATCATCGTGAAACAAACACAGAGTCTTTACTTCTATAACAGAGAAGAATTTTTTCACAATGAAAATCCTATAATCAAATAACACGATTAAATGTACTATTAAATGTACTATTGAATGTACTATTACATGTATTATTGAAAATGAAAAAAGTAAAAAAATCAAAAATCCAGTACTTTTTTATTATAACGATAAAGCAACACGTGTGTATTTGAATAAGATTTTAATTTGTAAAGTATGCGGTGTTAGATGAATGTACAAATTGATTAGGGGCAAAGTTGAAGAACCTCCAGCGAGAAAACAAAACAAGAATGTCCCTGAGCAACTTTGAATTCTTAGATTCTCAAGCATTTACATGTTTATATCAGCGAGATAAACATGGCTTTGCGCTACTAATGCTGCTCTCGTACAATTGAGACATCCAATAATCCTCAGATAATATTATGATCATTGAATTCTCTTGGACTTCATTAAACTCGATTTCCAATGTACAGAATAAAATATTCCCAAGTTTGAAAAATTTTCATCGCAAGCGGTACTCGTCAGCCCCGTAAAAGTGAATCGAAACGAAAAATATTTAAAGGACCGAAAAATCCGAGATGTGCAAAATTTGCCGCTCCATATGTTGTTGCACACAAGCGTAAATTACGCGTCATCATCGCACGAATACTCGTATACAGCTTATCTGCCCGAGAGAGCGAGAGACTCTATGTTGGAAGCATGTATCTATAGAGCAGGCAAGAAATTCGCGAAGAGCCGCGCGTGTAATTGAATATATTTTTATGTTACCCCGAAGTTTTTCGTCGCGTATTAAATAACTTTCGAGAGTGCGCGAGCGGACAGTAGCCAAACACGCCGCGTTCGGAGTTTTGTGTTTATACGTGAGAGAGAGAGAGGTAGGAAGAGAGCAAAGATAAAGCCGAGAGACAATATACAATCGTAATCGTCGTCGGTCGAGGGGATATTTCATTCGTGTGCAACGCAAAGAATCCGTGCAATGATATCTTGTGCGCGCATAAACTTATGCACACATACACAGAGACAGACAGACAGGCATGCACACGTACTAACACATACAGAGAGAAGCTAGAGGTCTGTACACAGATAGATATCGCGCAATGCAGAATCGGGACTCGTTTGCTTGAATTTCATCACACGCTTTGCTTCTTTTCGCATACACACACGGAGATAGACTCGAGTATTAAGCAGGCTCATCATCATCGCAGACGTACCATGATATACACGCCACGACAGACAAACACACACACACAAGAGAGACTTACCGTCCGCGAGTTTATTGTGCCTGGCTGCGTGTCTCTCCGATGCGTACATGTATGTGTGTGTGCGCGAAAGTATATAGCGAGAATTGTAACGGGTATACCGCAGCGAGATTGTTGTGAGTTTAATTTGAATCCACGTTCGAGAACAAGCGAGAAAAAACTGTTTTGCAAAATTGAACGCGAGATAATTGATAAACCGAGCTTATCGTGGGGTAAATTCAAAATAAAAAGATCAATAAAGCAAGACATTCCGAAAATTGAATCGTGGAATCACGCACAGCTTACAGAACGAGCGAGGGGAACGAGAAAAAATACCAACACGTACGAGTTAATAATGAAAATGTTGTGTTTTTTATGAATGAAATTAGTTAGAGAGAAACAGAGAATTATTTTTTATCATTACCTCGTGGACAGAATGAGTAAATCAACCCAAGTGGTGCGTCGCGCGGTGGAGATGGAGAGAGAGATGGATGGATGGTTTTATATATAGGCGGATATACAATCAGCGTATATAGAGAGAGAGAAGGCCGTGTAAGCGGGATATCTCGGGAAAACTCTTTTTGGCTCTGGGGCTGCGGCTGTTGCTACTGCACGTATCAGCGACAAAACTGAGACTGACTCTCGCGCTCGGCGCAGCGCTATAAGCGGGGAAATCGTAGTAGCTGCTGCTGCTGCTGCTCTCGGCGGCCGCCTCCTCTACCCCTCTGTATCTTATCTCGCCGCGACCGATCGAGAGACGTCGAATAGACACGAAAATTCGGAGCTCTCGATTTTGCGCCTCTTTGTGCGAGGAACGTATGCCGTGGTGCGGCCGATCGAGAATCGATCGATCGATATGTATCTATCTATATTTCCCGAGAGCGTGCGCGAGGCGACAAGCCAACTGTAGTCAGTTGCTTATTAGGCGTGTAAATGTGTGAGTGAGGCAGCACACGGCAGCATTGCCGAGAAAGAGAGAGAGAGACGGAATTTTGCGTAGAATTCGCGATCAAAATGGCGGCTTGGCTGTGCGCTGCTGCTGCTGCTGGCATAGCCGCAATGTCAAGCTTGCTGCTGCTGCTGCTGTCTCTCTGTACGCGACTCAAAACGCCAAACTACATACATACATATGCATACAGACACAAAGTTATCTACGTGTTAGAGGCTACACACGGACACAGTCGGTACACACGGACGAGAGAGACGTGTGCGGTGGTGCGGCCGTGCGATCGCAGTTCTTGGTTCTTTGCCCCTCTACTACCATTTTATAACGCACATACACATACATAGATATATGAAATCAACGGGCCAGGGCTCTCTACGTATATACCGCCCCTTAATATCGTCGGTCGACTTCTCGCGAGGCTTTTTCCTCGAGAGTTTGCGAACACAAACACGAGCGTCTTTTCTCGATGCTATCCACGAGCCACTCTGAAAGAGAGAGAAAGAGAGAGAAAGAGAGAGAGAGAGAGAGAGAGAAGGAAAACGGCGAAACGCGACCGATGACTCCTCGAATCCGACGACGATGATGCTCCCGAGCGCGTTGATTACGATGTTCGAATGTATGTTGCTACGAGGAGGATTAATAAAGAAATATGCGTAACAGGATGGACGAGATACGACACAGGGGGGTGATCCGTTTCCACACACAAAGCCAATATATGCCCAACTCCAACTTTTATAACCTTTAAATACCTGCGCGAGATGCGAAGCTTTTGCCGAGAGTATAGTCTCCTTAGCCGTAGTGGAAGCGCGCTCGAGACGACGATGCTTCTCTTTATCCTCGTGCGTGGGCTGGGGGGCTCGTCTGCTTGGTGCGAGGTTGACTTCTCGTCGTCGACAGCGCAAAAGCTCGGATGCGCTCAATGATATACAATCACACTCGTCGGCGCGGGGTCGTCGTAATATCCTTTGTTATAACACGACGAGATAGAGAGAGAGAGATCTCGGATCGAAGCTTTTTCGCAGCTCTGCGCGCGTTATCAATGTCGCGTATTATATGTTGTATCAACGAGAGAGAGAAGATTTTCGAGACAATATCGGAGAAGTATCATGTACTTTTGGGATAACAGTATATAGGCAGTAGGCACTCGGTTAAACGAGACTGTATATGCGTGCGATGCTATATAGTACGGGCAGCAGCAGTAAGCGCTCAACTCGAGCTATTGCCGGATTGGACACTTGGCCGACTCGATGATCGGAGCGCACACACACACACGCACACTCGGTTGCTGACTTCTCGCGTGTTGGATATTCGCTATATACATGTAATATACACATATGCAATGTATAATGTTGTTGGTGGCCAACGTGCAACATCGAGCGCTACCAACTCCGAAGCGGCTGATCGCGAAAGTATACAAACCAGCCACGGACGTTTAGTATCCTCTACATGCTAAAGCTACGTTGTATACGTATGATGTTCGCCATTGATGGATTTTCGCAATTGCACGGCACACAGCACGGAGTATGCGAATTTTGTAGCCGATCGGAGTCTTTCCCTGTGGCGCTGTTGTACGAATGCGCGGCTCCGATAACTGCTGCTGCACCTATATGCAATATCTCGTTGCACCTCGCGATTTGCTGAATCAGCATTTTGATTTTTGCGCTTTGGAGTCGGAGGGGCACCATATAATATACACATAAGTTGCGATATCTGCACGAGGAAAAAACCGCACGAGTCGTGCAACCGTTGCGAGACTCGTAATCTCTCTTGATAATGGATGATGCACTTGTATAGCTACACAAAGCGAAGAATGGATTTAATTGTTTTTGTTTACGTTATTTTTAGCACTCGAAAAATATTTAAAGAATACATCTTTACTTAATTCAATACGTAACACAATTATCTTTTTATTCCCAAAACACTGCTTGCGTTCCTGGATGGATTGACGTATTCGAATTTGAATTCAAAATTTTTACAGTTTGTGTTTCATCTTGATTTTCTCTAATACTTGAGAGAAACCAGAATCGATGTAAAAAATATAAACTTTCAAATAAGTTTTCTCGGATTTCCTTCTGAATATTTTTTGGGGGGCTCGGCATTGATCTAAAAAAGCCAAAATATAAATTTTTCTACGAAGCTCGTTAGAAACATAGTTATTTTTGTCTCGAGAAAATTTAAAGATTGACAAACTATTCAAAAATATTTTTTTCGAATAATAAATGAATTATAAAGCGTTTTAGAAATTATAACACTTTTCATTAATCATAGCTGACTCATAACATTAATTTGTTATTGTTTTTCAATGACGTTATACATTTCACGTCAAATAAAATTAGTTTATAAGAGATACACGATAGGTACGTGAATGGTAGAATTTATGGTCGAAAAATCATTTGACTAACTTCTGCGATACGGCGATTGGTGAATTGAGCGCGAATTACTTCCCTACGTCGCGAAATCAAAAATGTCGTAGAACACGCGTAATAGGATTATTTTAGCATGCTAGCACGCTAGATTAAATTGTCTTATCATTTTGAAGTCCAAGTTATAAGATGAAACACATAATTATATTCGTTTGTCAAACCGACTTATTTGACATGATGATGATTTCTCACGGAAAATACATGGTTTATAATTGATAATAATTTACAATTACAATTTTTTTAATAATGCATTGATTGATTTATTTTTTAAGTTTTTTTGTCTAATTTATACATATTGTATTATCACAGCTTATTACTATGTTTTCTTGGCGATTTTTCGTGTACACTCATAATCTGTTGCATTTTATAGAATTGTAGATTCGATAGGACAACATAAAACTTGTTGCGACACTTCAATCATTTAGGCAACAGTAAAAAAATGACCAGATAAAAATAAAGTTTTGCACTATACATATTTTTCGGATATTCAGAGTCGATTAAAACTTATCGGTATGGAAGGTAAGAAACTTGATTTCAATAGCTACTACCTGACACATTGTTCATCAAAATTGAAATCATTCATCTCATTTTTTAAATAGCAAAGGTAAAAAATGAAATTTTCGAAAAAGTTATCTTTGGATTAATTGCTAAACTAGCAATTACAACTCAGAAACGCTAATATTCGTACACGATAAAATGAAACTACCCATCGTAATTATATTGAGCACAAGTATTACCTCATATTTACTTATACAATAAACATATTATGTAAAAAAACACAAAGTTATAATCTAATTCAACTTTCCTTTACGATGATATATACAAGAAAATAATTATATTCTAACTGAGTATTCGATATTAAAAGACATCGGTTTTTTATTGCAGTAATATTTCAAGATGCACTACTACTTTCCGAGAAATTTGAAAAACCGAAAATCTATTGAAACATGTACTCCCATCTTCTACACTCTGATTCATGAATGACAAAATGGATTTATGGGACATGATTCCATTAAGAAAAATTAAAAATACATGCAGGTTTTCATGTAAAATTTATCAAAAGCTTGAATTGTAGAGAGAATAATCAGAGTTGAAAAGACAGTCGCCACTATTTCATATTTCAATGATAATCTTACTTTTCATCTTGAAATATTTTGAACTTGAGAGTTACAGAGCTTTTCATCTTATTCTCTAATGTCTAGACATATAATGTAAGATTATTTTTAAGTAAAATGAATTTTATATTTTTTTTATAACTTGCTTCAGTTTTTCTACATGAATATCAGATGTGATATAACATGTATTTCTTTTCTTTAATAAATGAATTAATGATAATTTATGTACGAGCAAGTTTTCTAAGTATGAAAAATCATCAATTTGGCTTCTTCTTAAATTTTAGATTCTCAACACATTGACTCGAAATTTTTCATATAATTTAGAAATGATCAAAAATATTGTACACATTAATCAACAAAATAAAAATTAATTGCTCTTCGAACTCATTGAACGTTATAATATCAACGTTTTGTATCATTCATTTCATGATATATCTTTTCACAAGTAACAAAAATATTAAACAACATCGTAGTTGTAAACAGTCACAAATAAAAAGTTAAAAGTAATACACGTGTACTTTAAAATATTAATCCTCCTAATTTTTCACCAATATAATCCGAGTAAATGAAACTTTTTCATTAAAATAAAACAAATGGTCATAAAAATATCAGTTCTGATTGTTCCATAAAAACTCAAGTAATCGAAGAACAAGGTTCGATTTATTTAAAGGAATCTTCCAATTTCGTAAAATTCACGCTTAAAACAAAAAGTAAAATAGCAAAACTAATTATAAAAAACTTGTTTTTTTTTTTATAATTATACCTTATGCAGTTTTCACTTTGTTACGTCTACAGAAACAGTGCGACTGATGGTCGAGACGTGAGAACTAGTGTTTATTTCTGCACTTACGATGTTGAGGGACGATATTTTAGCTCGTTGATACGCAACAACTGTATTGATACTCAGGCATCTAGATTGGGATAGAAAGAATAAACGTTAGGGGCTGTAAATAAATAAAATTATGGTATACTATCGTTGATGAAAAATATCGTACTTGATGCAGACGTAAATAACGAGTGTTGCCGATGCAGCAGCGAGCGTACGTATGAGCGAATCTTGGTAAATTTGAATCGTGATCCACGCGCCGGCGGCCGCTGCACCCATCGTAATCACGAGGGCTAAATTTCGAATCAATTGTCGAGGTGTCAGGCTCTTCTGCCAGTCCAAACGACTCGAGTGCTCCACGTTGTACGGAGTGTTGCAAACTTTGCACTTCAGACTGTCGGGATTCGTAGAGCTCTGCGAGAGAAGAGTAAATGAAATTTCGGTAAACAGTTTTCTGAATCGAATTTAGGGCACGTATGTGCGTACCTCGACGAGCCATCTACGCAGACAATGATGATGCACCGCGCTCACGTCCCCTCTGCATTGACACGGTTGTATCAGCGAGCCAGCATCCTGTCTCTCGTTGTCGTAACAGATCCAGCAGTCTCTGCTGCTCACGGATGCGTTGTCGGTCAATAGTTTCGACTCGAGCTGAGATTTGTCTTGTAATTCGACTTCTTTTGGCTTCGGTTGGTCCAAGTCGATTTTCTTCAGAATGCGCTTGGGATTCAGAACCCAAGATTGTTCGGGGCTGAAAAAAGCGAAAAATGTATCAATTTCTCTAGGAAAAACAACGTATTTAAATGTACTCAACGCACCTCATGCAGTTCCACAGGGCGCACGGGAACCACAAGGCCACGCCAACTTCGATCAGACGGAAGACGAGGTCGTGCACATTTCTGCTGTTCAGTGGTACTCTGTGGGATACATTAAAATAAAAAAAAATTACTTCCTCGATCTATTAACGATACGATAAATTCAACGATTTCGTAAACTGACTTGGTCTTCCAGAACTCGCTGAGAGTCTCGCTGAACAGAAAGCCGACGACGATGAACAGCATGATCGCCTGGGCCAGCATGCCCACGCGCGACTGGTGCAGCTGCGACGGGTTCACCTGCTGCTGCATCGACTCGGACCACGAGCTGGGCAGGGGCTCGAAGAGCTTGGCCGTGACGGGCTCCTCCTCGGGTGAGTTCGGATCCTCGGAGGTGCGCTTGTTCATGACGATGGAGCCGACTTGATGATCGTTCAGGAATCCACCGCGAACCTTGAAGTAGACCTCGATTCCGTAGATGAGGAAAAACACGACGACGATGAAGAGTAGGACTGCGTAACAGCCATTGAATATGTGCGTATAGAAGCTCCTCTGCAAAAGTTATGATTTAAAATTAATTCAATGAGATACATGGCGAAGGTTTTCTAAAAAAAACAATCATCGTCAACCCACCTTCTCCTCCTCATCGTAAACAGTCGAAGTGATGAACTCTAGCAAGAGTAGGGAATAATTGATGAAGTTGAATACGCCGAAGGCGAGAAACGACTTGGACAGAAATGACGGCTTGTCGGTCTGCATCCTCAAATGGAAAGCCTCGGCCCAGTAGCAGACGATGAGCGAGGCGCTGCTCAGCACCAGCACGTAGAACGCCGATGCCAGGGCCTTGGACCAGCCCTCGTTGAAGCTCTCGGGCGCCGTGTAGACAGCCCCCCTCACCAGGGTGGCGAGGAAGGTCGTGAAGTAGAGTAGCTTCTGGATGGTGATGCGACAGGCGCGCAGGAAGGTGGGGGCCTTCATGCGCTGCCACTCGGCGATGATGCTCATGACGAGCTGCACGAGGCAGACGAACGCCACGATGAAGAAGGTCGTGGCGAAGGCCACGAAGTAGGACAGATTCGGCACGTGACATTCCGTCCCGTCGAATTGAATCTGCGAATGACGTATAATTGATAGTGATTTTTTCCGTAAGCCTTAGCCTTAAGAATCTATATCGTGTGTTTACGAGAGGCGTGACATTGTAATGTAATCGTAAAACGATCTAACTCGGTCAATCGAGCACAATGTAATAATCCTCGAATTACGCCAACTTTCTTATTATCTGACGCGGGGCATTTCAACTACAATACTTTTTAACGATTAAGATCGATATTTTTATCGTCTATAAATTGGCGTGCTTCGTCGTCGCGCAACTGACAAGCCACCACAGATATATAGTATAGTACTTTATTTTCCCGCTATATTTATTTTTTCTCGCACCGCCACGTAATAGTCCAAACAAATGTGTGCGCTGTGTTTTCTCGAACGCTCTCCACTTTCTCCTCTATCTGTCTCTCTACGCACAAACGAGAGATAACAACGCGGAGAGGAAAGAACAAGATATATATTTATAATAACGAGCATTTGCTGCTTCATTTATTTATTTATTTATATGGCGATTAATTATACCTCGCAGAGGCAGGTACCGTTGTGGCACTCGCCGTGGCCGGAGCAATTGTCCTCGCCGCAAGTGTTGTTGTCCCAGGCCATCATGCCGAACTTAACCAGCAGTGACAGTGGATTCTGCGTGCTCAGGGCGATCATTTGGTCCATGGTGACGTCTCGCGCCCGTTATCCGATGGACCGCTATTGGCGCGCAGTCCTCTGTGAATAAACAAAAAAGAAACGATATTAAGAATTTTAAACGTGGTTGTATCGATCACCCTCGACTCTCGACCTACAAGAAAATCGTCATTTTGGTTTAACGACTCCGAAAATCCAATGCGATCGTAGTTATATATTCGAGGGCCTGTATGGCGACCCGCTCGCTCGGCTAGTCGTAAAAAAACTAAAATATACGCATAGACCAATAGTTTTATACATAGTCTCTGTGCCTATACATTGTACCGTGTCATGTGTGTTTTGACGAATCGGCGCGCGCGTGAGACCGATCGTACACATGAGTGAATTAACATACAATGTTTCGAACGACGAGAGCCCCGCGCGCGATCTATATATATGTAGTGTAGTGCTGCTCAAGTTTGTGACTGGCATTATATTATATAGCAGTCTCTCCGAGCATCGCAATTCGCGAAGCTCTAGGTTCAAGGTAGACGTCTAACTATACATGAGTCATACGCGTGGCCGCCGCCTCCTCCTCCTTCTCCGTCTCGCAATGCCTTTATAACGGACAGGCGTAACGATCCTATGCTACATTATCTGCTGCTATAATTCGGGGTAATTAGACCTATGCGAAAAATTATATTGAATGGATGAACCATGTATGCGGCTATAGCCGCGAACAACGAAAAAATTCTTGTGCAAATGATTTCGATGAATTGCGAGAGAGATGAATAATTACTTGCGTAGGTCAGGAAATTAAACTGTATGAATATACTGTGAGAGAGAGAGACAACGTCGTTTAAATAACAAGTCCTTATTAACGTGTGGGCAGCAAGGTACGCACGTGATCGAATGCTAAGTGGGTATTTTTTTTTATTCTAGGTCGTGTAAAAAAAAAACAAAATATTAGGAGTCTTCTTGAAAAATTTGCGTATACATCGGGGGGCATGACGATACGCGAGAAATTGTTGCGTTATGGCATAGAATCAATGTGTGCAAAAGTATATAGCTCGTGTTTGTTTTGCCCGGAAGACTTTCGTGCGTATCGACACGCTCAATTTCGACTTTAATGAACACAATCGTCACCTTTCAATTTGCATTTTAAACGACACACAATCCGATGCACACACACACGAGCAGCTCTGGATAAATTAATCGCGAGGCACGTTTTGTACTCTACTTTCTAACTGGCGTATGACTAAAGTTCGAGCTTTGTTGTATGCCTTCTGATAATCGTATGCTTTATTACTTGATTAGGTGCAATTAAAGTGTACAACTACTCTAATTTCCGATTGATTTTCAAAGTTTTTTACTCTTTTCTTTTTTATGTAACTATCGCATATATATATGGATCGACTAGGCATTTTTTAAAATTAGCTTCGTGATGCAAATGTGAGATTTATTAGAAATCAAGGTACACTTTTACAATCAACCTTGAACCTATTGTTTATTACCGAGTAGTCCTTCGTGAAGTATTGTCAAAGAAATAAGAAACGAAGGAATAAGTTGAATAAAAAAACAGAATGACGAATAAAATAATTTTGTTAGAAAACTACGCAAACAAAGAAATATTTTATTATAAAAAAATGAGTCATTCATTTAGCACTTGATACCATCTGTCCGCTGCAAGAAACCATAAATGCAGCGAAGTAAGGGCGATGCCCGTGCCTATCGCGTGTGATATTGTTATTATTGTCGTGTATACTATTCACGCAAACGACCCGTACTAAACTAAATTTATTTTTCTGCTCATTACAGAATTGAATTACACTTAGCGAACATAAACTCAGTGTCAAATAATTCGGTATGGAGCAGAATATTTCGATCCAACGTAATGGGAGTCGTTTTTTGTGTCAAGTTTCTCGACAACAATGACAATAGTACACAGGCTTGCATAGGCAGATAGGCCACTGCTTCGTTAGTTTAATATTTTCTGCTCTGTTCTAAATTAATTGATATCTAGGAAACTTCACACCGAGGGCTTTTTTTTGCCTTGATACTCGGATCAAATTTTTGGTAAAACCTATTCGTAAAATTAACGCACGTGAGAATTTAGATGATCTTCTTCGTTCGTTCGATCGTTGCGGATATTATATATAGAATAACGAAATGAAGACATTTCTTCAGCTTCATACAAAAAAATTTAATCGAAATTTCAAAAAACATGTATAAGAATTTCTGCTTTAACATCACAGTACTTCAGAATTTCTTCAAATGAATAATAAACTCAATTCGATTTAAAAAAATTACTTTTCATCATTAATTGTTAATAAATAAAATTCATAAAACTTACTCTAGCAGAGTGCGAAATTGCGACTTGTGTAATTTTGTTAACTTTATATTATCTACATAATTGATCATTTAGTAGGAATTTTGTAGATCAATTGATCAAAGTGCCTTGCGCTTAGGTCAGCATGCTTGTTAAAATTAAGTTGATAAAAATGACGAAAACCATGATAACCTATCTTATCTCATTCCTAAAAATTAAACCAATTTTTCTTTTGATTTCAAGTAGGTTCTTACTTTCAAAGTATGCCAAAATGAGTAATATGAAATAATATTTTCAAATCCTGTTAACAGAGTTTTTTCTCTAAATAAGAAAGTAAAATACAATACTAAAAACTCAAAAAATGCTTTAGAATTTCCATAATTATTTAAACTTCAAATAGCCGAGTAATGGATTCAGTCTTCTGAGAATGCAATAGTATCACAATTTTAGAACAAACTTGCTAAGTAAATACATGATTTGAGCAAGTTTATGAATTTAAGTGGATATAAATAATTTTTTCTCAAATTGTTACTCAATCGTAAGCTCCTAGAGTGTCATGCCTTTAGACAGCAAAGACTTGGTCTTGGTTTAATCTTTGATGAAATAAAAAGAAATGTTTGCATTAAATGTAATAAATCATAAATTTAGAGAAGGGAATTAAAAGAAAATTTTTATACAGACTAATAAGGTAATGAAATATCAAAAGTAAATGATATTTCCTATAAGTGTATAATTATTCTTCCTAAACTTTAGACAACATGATAATTACAATCTAAACAATAAGTGTCATGAAAAACGAATAAATATTTGAATACTGCAAATAAAAAGAATTGATAAAATCAAAAAATGTTGTTTGTACCTCGTTCATAGCTATCATGTGACTCAAAAAAAGTGTAACCGTTACAAACAAGAATATTAAACTCAATCAATCAAATGACCAATGCTAGTCAATATTTTAAATTTATCACTGTCAAATGCCAAAGAGTAAAATGACGACCGTCTGTGCAATAGAAAAACTGCTGTGCCAGTTGCAGAAGTATGCATTAATTAATTCTCATGACAACACCAAGAGAAGATAAAAGAAGAAGAAGAAGACACATAAATATTTCGACAAGATTAAATGCATAACGGATAAAATGAATGAACAAAAAAAGCGCATATGTCGTTTTTATCTATATAGGTAGTACATCGACCTAAACGTAATATCGACTCACCCATGTCTCGTGTCTGTATAAGTGTGCGTATCGATTCGTTAGTGCATGCACTGCAAGTGCATCCGTACTCATCATATCGCGCAACAAAGTTAATTCTCTCTAGCGAAGGAGCACACACTACATATTATAGCAAAGTATATACACACACACGATGTAAGGTCTAAAAAATTTTGATCAGCAGTTTTACGTAATGTTCTCGCGATGCTTTACGTTATTCGTTATAGAGTCGAATAAACTTGCGCGAAACGTACCGACGTCTGCGTTATACTCATAATAATAGTCCGCGAATAGTCCAAAATAACATGCAGCCACGAGAGTGAGAGAGAGAGAAACGAGACCAAATGTCGAACGCTGTATTTTATACGTATAAATTTGGGGAGAATTTTTTTGTCCGAAATAAAAGGTGCGTACTTGGGAATGTCCAAACACGGCTCAGTGTATCTACGTGAGAGACGACGACGATGATTTAAAAAAGTGATATGACAAGCTTTTTTACCTGGTGCGTGGCCTTCCAATGCTAAATACGTCAACGATGTCCCGCACTGACACTGTTCCTTTCATTCATTTATCTCCTCCTCTGGCATGAAAAAAAACACACACGCACACTTGGAGAGCAGAGCAGAGCAGCAGCTGCTCTGCTGCCTCTCATATACGCAGTTTTCCCCGATCCTATGCACTTGTGTTTGTCTATATATTTTTAGGTATATATACGCGACAACGACGACGATGATGAAAGTGAATTCGAGATGTCTGTGTTGTGTACCCTTCGGGTACGAGTGCACCGAGAGCTATCTGCTGCTGCTGTTTTCCCGAGAGCTTTAATAATATGTCACGGCACTCGGAGCGTCAATGCAACTTGCAACTCGACACTGATAAAAGGCAAATAGATGCACTCGCGCACAGATATATATACAGACTCGGTCCTGCAGAGCACAGACGCAGAGACGATGTATATAGCGCGAAAGACGCGCGCGGTGTATTTTCGTTCTGCGTTCACATTAGTCACATTATTATATATATACACAACGCGAGCAGTGCCAGAGATATGACATCCGCCACTATGTACTGTAACGCTGGCGCGAATGCACCGATGCAAGATCGTGCACAAGACTAGCTATATGCTGTATTACTGCGAGAGAGTTGAGCTGGCTCGAGCAGCAGCAGCAGCAGCAGCGCCGAGCGACGCCAGTGTTTTTTGCACCAACACTTCGTTGCGAAACGTGTATGGGCATGCATCGTATCTTTTGTCTGTAAAATCGAAGCTTGCGTGTGTTGGTAGCGACGCAGACAATGCTTTCTCGGCGCACGGCCGAAAAGACTCGATCTTTCACTGCTTGGCAAATGGCATGTGAGGCAGCTGTGGTGGCGACAGCTGCCGTTGCGAATTGAGAATTTCTATATTTGCCAACGGTCATCGCGCGGTCTTCCTTATCGACATTTGCACTGTGGCCAACTTGATTATCGGAATTCCGATTCACCAATGTTTTCAAATACAAGATCAATAAAGTAAAGTACTCTTGTAGGTAGTTTTTTATTATAATTGACGTACAATGACACTTGGCTATTTTTTTTTACTGTTCATAAATAATATAATAAACCTTATAATTTGGGTCTGACTCCAAAATTCTTTTTTTTTTCTCATTTTGGAAAGGTTCAATCTCCATTTGCGATTGAACTGTTATTAGCTGTGATAATAATGAAATCAAATATATTCCAACAACTATTCAGGCAAACAGACATTTCTCAATGATAAAAACACTAACAAGGAGAGCCTTTAATCTTTGGGTCACAGATCCTTACCAAACTTGTTTGGGGGTCTTCTTGTACATAATAATAAAGCCCCCTATAGTTACTTTATTCCAATGGGCCCTGGAAACCATTATAAAGCACCATGAAGTATATAATATAATGAAATGTATAAAATACCATATATATTAGAGTATAAGGGTATCAGGTTTACACAGTCAGGTCTAATTGACTGAGAAGTATTTATACTTTGAGTTTTTAAAATCCAATTAGAACACCTTTTCAATCAATAAACAATTTAACTCAATTGATTTGCTGTGTAAGTTTTGAAGAGCGCATCAATTTGAGTTAAAATTTATGCATTTATCAACAAATAGTTTTATTAAATCATGTAAAAATGTTTTCATTCATAAAACTTACTGTTCTTTCTTTCTCATCTATTTCTGACACTCATCTGGAGTGAATCTGAATCCAGATGAGTGTCAGGAATAGGTTAAGAGAAGGGATTTTATGAGTTATACAAATAAAAACATTTTCATATAATTTACATCGCTATTTATTGTTTGGTACGTTAATTTTAGCTCAAATTAGTACACTCTACAAAACTTACACAGCAAACCAATTGAGTTCAATTGTTTATTGTTTGCAAAAGTGTTTAGTATGCATAAAATTTCATGTACAAATATTTTTGAGAGAGTTAGACTTGACCATACAAGGACTGATAACAATAAGTGGTATTTTTTAACATTATATTATATTTAATACTTTTTTCTGCTCTATAACTGTTTCCAGGGCCCATTGGAATAAAGTAACTATAAGTACAGATAAAATGTAAAATGTAATAAAAAAGCGTAAAGAGTTATCATAAGTGGGTAATCATTTCAAATATTATAAAAATTTCCTCTTCAACACAATATATTTACATTGAAAAACAATATTTATTGGTATATAGTACGCAAAAACAAGACTCATTAAAAGTATTATTTAACGTGAAAAAAACTTCCCCCTTCCAAGGACTTTCTATACAGAATCATACTTGTTTTGATTTTTTTTTTTTTTATAAAAAATTAACTATACACAAGATAACAATTTCTTTTTTCATTAAAATAAATAAAAACACAACATAATTATTAGAAAATGATATTTATTATCATCTAAATTGTCACTTCCTGCCTTTAATCTTTGGGTCACAGATCCTTACCAAACTTGTTGATGCTTTGAGTTTTTAATGTCCAAAACACTTTTTCCATCGATAAACAATTTAACTCAATTAGTTCACAGGAAAAATCGAGATCTGTGACCCAAAGATTAAAGGCTCTCCTTGTAAGTTTGAATAGATTGATTTAATAGTGATCATGTAAAATTAACGTTTCTTTGTCATCCTCTAAAATAATTGCTTGAGTAGTGGAACTTTGGGTTTCGTTAAGGCGCAATTATTATATTCATTTTTATGCGTTTAATAAATTACCGATCATGCCACGCTTTAATTTTGCGTCACTTTTTAGTATGATAATTTTATATTTTTAATAAAAAGAAAAGTTCTTCGCTAGAAGAACTTTTAAGTCCTTGTAAGTATGTTTATTTATGTGCAATTACTCATGTTCATTAATGCGTAACGATATTTCATCTGAATGTGTCTCGCAAATCATTATACAGCTACATATCAGTATTGTAATATTAGGTAGAACTCAAAATCTTTTCGGTATGGCAAGTACCACGAAATTATTGGACTGTTTAATATCTTGATATAATGCAACAGTTTCTACTGTAACTGCGGTTAACGCGTTCGTATATAGTCGACCGATTCGGAGGTCGTCGGCGGTCGGTCTTGAGCGATGCACTAGTAGTTACGTGCGCGGCCGCACAGATGGACGGCGTCGCCATTTGTTAGCATGGATGCTGGGCTGGGGCTGGGAACTGGTGAGTGGTGGGGGGTCATTTCACTCATTGCACGTGCTACTGCCCCGACCGTGTGGCTATTTGTAAGCGTAAGGTATGGAGTAGAGCCACGAGCGTCGTCAGTCAGTCGGCTAAGTACAAGCACGTGGCACGTACGCATCGGCATTCGTTTGTGTCGCTACTCTTTGTGCACACTAAATCTGTTTATATTAATTTATACGTTTTGTGCAGTTAGAATCTCGACAATATGGTCATCATGGAGAAAGACAACAGCATCCAGATCGCTCTGCTTCAGCTTCTTAAAAAGTTTAACTTTAACGTAAGTAAATGAAAGCCAAAACTCAGGAAAAACATAATTTCTAAACTCACTTTATAGCATTGCTTAAAATTTGGTGTCTGTACTAAATTTGTGTCTATTTTTTATTAGGAAACTTTTGAATTATTTAAAAAAGAAGCCCACATCGACGAGTCTGAAATAGCAGAGCTGGAACCTATCAATACCGATGTTGAGAATGTTCTATCATCTTTCAAAGATGATTGGGAACCTCAACGGTATGACAAAGCTTATAGAGAGTTACAAAAGTTTATTGAAACTTCTCGGGATAGCTACAAGCACGAGATGGGAACAATATTGTATCCTGTACTTGTACACATGTACTTGGAGATGGTGTATTTGAATTACTCTGAAGAAGCTCAAAGCTTATTAGAAAAGCATAGTCGAGGAATAGAAGATTATTACCAAACGGAATTGCAACAATTATCTCATGTAACCAAGAGAGAACATTTGGTTGAAAATGAACTAGCTAACACATTCAAGTAAGTTGTAATTCTTTACAAAATCGTATATTCTTTGGTATAATCGTAATGATAATTTTGACTGATATAATATTTTTCACTTCTTAGCAAGCAGCAGTTTAACAGAAGGATATCTCGAGATGCTTTATCAATCTTAAAAAGATTTTTGAGCGAAGGAAAACCAAATAATCTTTTATTAATGAAAATTGTATCAGCAAACATAAATTTTGATATCTACGAAGGAGTCCCAAGAAATAAAACTCAAATTGAAGCAACGTTTGGCTCATTGATTGGAGAAGTTTCTAGAACAGCTAATGAAGCTAAAGTTTATTATGGACTTTTGAAAGAGCAAGATGTACAGGAGCCTGTACCAATTGCTGCCGAAGATGAAGATGACGAAGTTGGAGATGAAGATTATAGACCCAAAAAGAAGAAAGCAAAAAAAGATAATATTGTTTCAAAACAAACAAAACCTGATCCTAATGCTCCATCGTGGACGAGAATGCCATTACCCAACTTGAGGGACATTTATAAAATAGAAAAAATAAAAGAAATGCAAGAAGCTCAAAAAAGAGTTACATTAGGTCCAGATTGTTTGCCGTCAATTTGTTTCTATACTTTAATGAACTCTGTTAACACAGCTATTTGTGCAGAAGTATCTGAAGATTCAAGCCTCCTTTCTGTAGGTTTCAGTGATTCAAGCATTAAAGTATGGAGTTTAGTGCCTCAAAAACTGCAAAAGATAAAAGATGCTAAACAACTTGCGAATGTTTCGTGTGAGTCAGACGATGTTTTGGTTAGAATGATGGATGACGAATCAGCAGAAACTGTTCGTACTCTGTATGGACACACCGGACCTGTTTACAGCCTCTCATTTAGTCCAGATGAAAGAATACTGTTATCTTCCTCTGAGGATGGGACAGTGAGATTATGGTCACTTCATACATGGACCAGCTTAGTTTGTTACAAAGGTCATCTTTTTCCTGTATGGTCCGTAAAATTCTCACCGCATGGCTACTACTTTGCTACTGGTTCAAGTGATAGAACAGCAAGATTGTGGGCTACGGATTCACATGAACCATTACGAATATTTGCTGGACATCATGCTGATGTTGATGTTGTTCAATTCCATCCTAATTCTAATTATTTAGCATCTGGATCTAGTGATAATACTGTCAGATTGTGGGATTGTACTACTGGTAGTCAAGTTAGATTAATGACAGGACACAAAAATGCAATTTACGCATTGACCTTTTCTATGGATGGAAGAATTTTAGCTTCAGCTGGTATGGATGGTAGTGTTTTACTGCATGATCTTGCACAAGGTCATTTAGTAGCTGCTTTAAGTAGTCACACTGCAAATATACATTCATTAACGTTCAGCAGAGATGGTAATCTTTTGGTATCTGGTTCGCTGGACTGTTCTATAAAAGTGTGGGATTATAGAAAATTAACAAAAGATTTGAATGTAGATGATGCCAATGTGTCGCATACTCCAGATGTAAAAACTTGTACAAATAATTATTTGTTAAGAACTTATAGAACAAAAAGTACACCAGTTTTGACGACCCAATTTTCAAGAAGAAATGTAATGTTGGCAATCGGAATGTTTGATGCTAATCTTTCGTAGCTAGCTTATGGTGTGTAAATTTGTGTAAATATCTTGTGGCGTGGAAATCTGTGTAAATAGCTTGTGGCGTGGAAATCGACGTAAATATGTCTTTAATAAGGTAGAAGTGACAATTTAGATGATAATAAATATCATTTTCTAATAATTATGTTGTGTTTTTATTTATTTTAATGAAAAAAGAAATTGTTATCTTGGTTATAGTTGATTTTTTATAAAAAAAAATCAAAACAAGTATGATTCTATGTAGAAAGTCCTCAGAAGGGGGAAGTTTTTTTCACGTTAAATAATACTTTTAATGAGTCTTGTTTTTGCTTACTGAGTGAACTTTCTTCATTAAATATTGTTTTTCAATGTAAATATATTGCGTTGAAGAGGAAATTTTTATAATATTTGAAATGATTACCCACTTGTAATAACTCTTTACGCTTTTTCATTACATTTTTTATTTTATCTGTACCTACTACAATGCCAATCTAAAAGTTTTGAGCACGTTTTCCAGTACTATTTAAAGAAAAATCTTATAGTTTCCATTTCCTTTACATACATAATCAAAAAACAAATTTCGAGTTTTAAAATCCGACTGTGTCCAAACATTTTAGTAGGATTAAAGCTACCATTTTTTATGAACAATCTCTTGTACACCATTTTAATGACTACCTTAATCACCTATCAAAACTTAATTAATTCATTTTTGTATACTTTGCTTCAAAATCATTGATTATGAGAATGTCAAATAGTTTAATAGATTTTGTAATAAGTGGTATTCGAGTTAAGATGAGTCAAACTTTTAACCTTTTATTAAATAACAAATTATATATTACATGGTAAATCCTTATCGTTATAAAAATAGTACTTTATCAACATTCTATATTACACTAAATACATAATAATTCATTTAACAGTTTTGTGTCGAATCTTCGATTTTTTTCGAGGAACATTCTTTGCACACTGTATTCAATTCCGGTAAAATTGAATCGTCCTTTTTAGGATCATTCGTCGTAACTTTTGCCCTGGAAACCGGTCCAAACAGAGAGAGTAAAACGGGTAATAAAAATAATCCATGCATCGAACCGATCAAAACGACGAGAAAGACCATCTTGAAAAAGACTAAAAATATGTACGTGTCGGCAAGAACCAATGCCAGCAGACCCAGAATAGTGGAAAATGCCCCCTGCACGATCGGCAAGCCCAGGTTGTACAGACACTCCCTCACGCGATCGTTTGCGTGTATTTTTTCCGAGCTCATGTAAGCGTAACAAATGTGCGCGGTGAAATCGACGCTGAAACCGATGCACATGATAAGATTTATCATCGAGATACTGTCCAAGCTTACGTCCCACAATGCCATGTAACCGGCGACTCCGCATTCGATGGATATAATACAAAATGCCACCCAAAAGCAACATAAAACATTCGGTATAAAGAGGAATGTAATGACCATCATAATCAGTGCTCCAAATATTAAACACTGAATACTTGTCGGTCTAATTAGCTCGAATTGGTCGAAGAATACAAAATATGGATGAAAAACACTTGCATTCAACGACGATTCCGAACATATCTGTCTCAATTCTTTCACCATCTCTTTTTCCTGATTAGTGCCGCTTATATTCACCGCTTGGATCAAAAAACGGCTAGCTATTATTTCATCGTTATCTTTGTTGAATTTTAGATCTAGCGAAAATGGACTCGTTGGATGTAACCATTCATCGCGTAATTCCTTTATAAAACTTTTTTTTATATCCACCGTTTCGTTCATGGACCCATCATAAAGCGACGATGAACTCAAAAAACTGCGAAGCCAACTCTCTGTGTACAAAACGTTGCTTATATAATCTGACGCTTCCAAGCGTCTGGTCAAATTTTCTACTTCTATTTGAATACTTGGATCACTGTAATCGTATTGACCACTTATCATCACCTGGAAAATAATATAAAAATATGGTTTTAATACATTTTTGAATTGGATAAAATTGAATGGATATTACGGATTCGTAGTTTTAAATTAAAAAAAATTAGTTTAACTTCAATCATAGGTGAAGTAATCGATGGATTATAATAATTACTTTTATGATAAAAATTACAAAAAATGAAAGAATCAGAAAAAATTATATAGGAGTACATATGCAGAGTTGCAAGCATTTGACAATAAGTCAGAGCCCAGTTGAAAAGCTATATAGAAATCCACGTGGAAATATACTAGAATATTGACCAGGAAACCTATAGAAAAATTCAAGCGGAAATCCACGAGAAAATATGTATCGAAATCTCCATGGATATCCACGTAAAAAACTGCATTATCAAGACAGAAGGATTCGAAAAAATCCTCGTGAAAATCAACACGGAAATCAAATATGTTAAAATATTGATTAGGATACTTGAAAAAAAATTCACGTGGAAACCTACATGGAAAGTCACTATAATCCACATGAATTCTACTTCTTTCCATGTAGGTTTATGTGTTGAATCCATGAAAATCCATCGAATTGTTTTAAACTCTGTGTTTTAAACTAATTACTTCAACTTGTGAATGCGTTCACAAAGATACTTAAATTATTCCTAATGTTTTTTCGGAAAACCTCTTAGTTAAATCAAATAACTACGAATTTCCTCGAAATAAACTCCGTGAATAAATTAGGTATGATTGTATGACATGATTGTTAAATTAGGTATTAGGTATGACAAGCTTCACGTAGAAATACATGCAATTTCTTTCAACAGGGTGTACAAGTCCGAGCCATGATTCATTTCACAACGTTCCGGCGTCAGAAAAAATTTAATGAGGAATGCCGCATTTGTCGCTTACTGATAAATCCGTGCAAATCATAAATTGATTCATAATACTAATATCAAACTATCGCCGTTGCTTACGAGTAAAAACACAGTGAAAAACGCTACGAAAAAAAACATACTGATAAAATGCCCCGAAAAAAAACACAGCTCATTGAATGCTGTGAAAAAAAACACACCTCATCGGAGCGCCACGAAAAAAAACACACCTCATTGAATGCCATGAAAAAAAACACAGCACATTGGATACCGTGAAAAAAAACACAGCTCATTGGATGCCGCGAAAAAAAACACACCTCATTGGATGCCGCGAAAAAAAACACAGCAGAATAAAAACGCAACAAATTTCGATTCGGTGTGTTTTTTTTTCGCGGCATCCAGTGAGCTGTGTTTTTTTTCGCGGCATCCAATGAGCTGTGTTTTTTTTCGTGGCATCCAATGTGCTGTGTTTTTTTTCATGGCATTGTATGAGGTGTGTTTTTTTTCGCAGCGCTCCGATGAGGTGTGTTTTTTTTCGCAGCGCTCCGATGAGGTATGTTTTTTTTCGCAGCATTCCAAAGAGGTGTGTTTTTTTTCATGGTATCCAAAGAGGTGTGTTTTTTTTCACGGCGCTTCGATGATGTGTGTTTTTACTCGTAAGCAACGGCGCTATACTGATAAATAATTGTATCAATTGTATCATAACTTACTTGAATTCTGTAGGGGTATTCCCGAAAGTAATGTTCTTCTCGGTCATAGAATACTATTGAATACGAATCCTTTTTCGATAATTTCCGACGATCGAGTCCTTCATTTATGTTTGTGAGGCCGTATATAGCACCAACCAAGTAAACACCAAACGTAATTAAGACTAAATACTTTATTTTCATATTGTTTAATGCTGCTCCTAAATAGTCCCTAAACCATTTCATACATCCATGTTCAGTATTATCTATTGGATTATTTGGGTCATCATTATTGACTCCTCCAGAACAAAATAATCTGTAAAACCAAGACCTTTGACCTGTAAATGTTGAAAAATTTATATTGATTTGTTGTTTGGGTAATTTATTTGAAAAAGTATAAATTTTTTTATGTGAAACATCTTTATGGGCGTTTGGCATGTCTCGGCGTCCATCCGTCCGACCGTCCGAGCGAGCGCGACTTTGGTAGTAACTACATAGTAGTCTTTAATTTTGATAAAAAATTAGACGAGAGTATATCGGTCATTTACTAGACGTTGCCCAGTTATTTACTGGAAATATTTTCTGGGAGTGGTCATTAAGGAGGCTATAACGAAATTGAAAAAATCTTTAGACCGGAGTGAAATTTTAACCACTGATAGTTCATGAAATTACGAGATTTTTGGTAAAAAAAATTGGTGGTTTCCATGCTAATTTGGGAAATAATGAAATTCCAATTTTTTGCTATTTAACATTGAATCAAATGGGAAGTGGCAGTTGTTAGTGTACTGTGAGCTCAAATCTCTTTACAAGTTAATGAAATTAACATATGTTATAGGAAATTTCATTAGCTTTCGAATGATATAATTATAAATGGGTGTTTCCAGGCAAATAAAAAAGATATTAAGAGTCCAACAATTTTTCCCTATGTTCTGCCATGCTAGCCTTGCGCATATAGCGCTTTAATACACAACCACCTTGCATCGCTACAGCCTCATTAACTGGCGTTTTTCGGGTGATTCGTGAAATCGTAATTTTTAATAATATTAACGATGTTAAAATAATTTTTGAATGGTTTTAATCTATAGAACATTCAATTAGCTACGCGATGATCGATCAATTTAGTTTTTATTTAATTGCAATCATTAAATTTTCCTACATATTTAAACATTGAAAAAAAAAACAATTCGGTCATTCACTGGACGATTTACCCTATCAGAGTTTTTCTCCATGAGTATATGCTCGTGACGGATTAAAAAAAGTCTCCAAATTTATACCACCACCTCTTATGAGTAATTTAGATCACTGCCCTCGATTATATTGCGTGATTAACACGCAGAGTTCTTCTTTTTACCCCTGTATTGATTTTTGAGAGCAGCGTCTGAGTGTGGTGTATAAAATTGGAAATTGACTGATGCAAGCATTATCTCTTATATGGGAATCGACAGAAATTTCTAGCCACTTGCGGGAACCTCGATGTATCGCTAGATAGACATCTGGCGTCGGATAAGTTAAACGCGGCGATGAAATTGTCGTGCACAACATATTTTTTACTTACTCGATTTTGACAGGGGTTGAACTGGATAACAAATTAAACTATGCAAATTATCTTGCTCGCAATAGCCGCTTAAAGCAACGCAGCCAGCAAAGAATGTTAGATGATAAACAAATGTAAAGATCACAGCGAAACCTAAAACAAGAATATTCGATAAATACGCATTAACTTAAAATATATTGAAAATCATTAATATCTGAAGTATACGTACCAGAATATATACAAAATATTTGGACGGACGGAAAAACTGATAGAATACCAATGAAAAATGATACCATATCAGTGAGTGAAGTTATGGTAATAGAGACTGCTGCTTCACTCAACATTTTGGACATTCTAACTGGTACAGAATCTTTAATATTTGTTCGTCTCCAGGCGGCTAGCATGACGAAAGTATCGTCGATGCCAATTCCTGCAATTGAAATTGATAAAAATGTTCATACGAAGTGGTATTAAAACGAGCTCACTATTAAAATATACAAAGATAATGTTACGTAAAGTTTTTGAAAAGATGAAGATAATGAATTCAAATTTAGATCATACCTATCATGAGAAAAGGAGCTGCTAAATTAATTCCTATGAAATCTATTCCAATGAAGCAGCAAAGACCGAAGGCAGAAACTGTTGCCATTCCAGCCGATACATTTCCAAAAAATCCAATCCAAGGTTTGCTTCGAACACAGTCCAGCATCGTGCACGTGAGCACAGAAAAAATAACCATTATCAAAAACGTGCTAGTAAAGTAAGGAATGATGGTCTTCGTATTGGCTTCGAACTCCAACTCGAGGGTTCGTGAAGCAAAACGTGCTACACTGATGTGTTCAAATGTACCATTACTTTCAAGATTACCAACCACGTCTAAAAAGCCTTCCTCCCAAATAGCACCTCTGTGAATAAAAATTAAAAAAAATTATTAGCCAAGTTTCATAGCGAGAGATTGAATGTCTTATTTAGAGAGACAAGTTTAACACAACTAGAGGTGATATTATTCTGCTTAATACGTGGGATGACAATAGTCAAGGGTAACAGAATATCTATCGAAGTAGACGATCACAGTGAAAGTCATTTTAGAGCTCTATTTTTATTATCGGTCCTGGATGAACATATCGCTAAGAGAATAAAACCATTTTTAAACTGACAAGGAGACCTTCTCACCTTCGGGTCATGGATTTGCTCCAAAATTTTTGTGAGGTCTCCTGCTACCCTATACTGAAGCTCTCTGTGCTTAGTTTGATCTCATGGGCCTTAGGGCCCATTTTTAAGAGGATTTTCCACATTATGAAAAAATCGTTGTTATTTTCTATATCGATATAGAAGTACTTCAATGAAAAAATGTAACGATAAAAAGTTTTAAAATTTTTCAAAGAATGTGCTTGAATTTTTTCAGAATTTTTGGGGCCATCTATTGAAGTGCGCGATTGAAGTGCTTTGAAATATATGATTGAGGAAATTCCTTATACCATGTAAATACATTTTTACACGAATTTTTCACTAAATTAAACAAATAACATTATTCAACGTTTTATAAGCATTAGATTAAGTTTGTTAGGATAAAAAACTTACAACTCATTCTCTGCAGGTGAATCTGCTCTTAAAAAATATCCCATTTGAACAGATGGTGTGGATTGAATCATAAAATCTTCATTTACTACACTCCCGCCAAAATAAACAGGAAAAATATGTGCGTCCCAAGTGATTGGATTGAACATGACCGGAAACGTAAGATTTAAATTACCCTGTTCAAAATCGCTGCAATAAAATTATTCATAAATATTTAACACAATGAAAAAACTATTTTAAAAATTAATTAAGTAATCCAGTTGGATTCTAGTCGATCTAACTAGATTTTCCATTTAGAAGTGCAGCGATTTTTTTTGAACAAGACGAGGCTGAATTGTTGCCACGATAAATGAGAAACAAAAACGTTCAAAGTTTTTTAATTACTAATTGTAAAATTATTAATTAAACATATTTATACTCACTCCAAAAGCTCTTCAAGATTCAAAATATCATTGTCGTAACAGTAATCTAACCAACGAGCACATATTCGTGAAAAATTAAAACTTTCATTTTCATAATTGACGGTAAAGTTTTTTATGTATGTATCGAGTAATCTAAGCTCTTCCCAAACTTCTTTACGTAGCATATTTTGATTATCGTCTTTTGAAATTACTATGACATGTCCAAACCGACCTGAAAAATTGTGGAATGAAGTTTTATTTATTCGATTTGGTGCGATGAAAATAATAACAAAAAAATTTGAAATCCATATATGACTCAATCCTGTAGAAAATGATTGGATGGAGTTCCACGTGGATTGCCTACGCGGATACCGTGTAGATTCTGCGTAAAAAGTGCACAGATTCTATATTGAATCTATACCGAATCCACGTGGAAATCCACTCCATTTTTATCACTGGGTATTGATTACTATTAAATAAACTATAAAAAAAATTATTTAAAAACTGTTAATCTTAGATTCAAAGCATAAATCTTTATTGGATGAAGCTAACATTTAAATATTATACAAAAATTATGGATTGCCAATTTTCAGCGAACTGAAAACTTACCTGGTCGCGTTATACGTCCCAAATTAAAGTATTTAGTATAATTCATTCGAAAAAATTGTTCAACTATAGCTCGTTCATGTTTTCCTGGTCCATTGATTGGAGAAAAAAGATATTCTGGATCAATTTCATAATGTATGTATCGAAATCCTATGATACATATAAAAGTCACTATTACAGGTGTTATAATAAAATATTTGGGATGGAGACCAACAATTGAACCAATTTTATAAAAGGCTTTATTTAGAGAATAATCAACACAATTAAATGAGTCTAACATCTGGAAATTAAAAATACATTTTTATAAAAAAACTATTGATTATTAAGTAACATAAATAAATTAATTTATTGTTAACTTGATCATTTACAATTCTGTTATCTAGTCAAATTCTAACGAATGCTTTTAACAGAATTTTTTAATTTGGGAGAAAATTGTTTTCTACTATTTAAGCTATTTATATTTTATATAAGAACAATAAAAGCAGATTAAATGATGGCATATCCTATCACTCCTCCAAGACCTTGACAAATAGTTTAGTAACTTTCTAACTTTTATCATTTTCAATTTTGCAAAAAATTTCATTAAAATTGTTTTAAACAGTAGAGACGAAAAAACTCTATTTTTTTTATAAAAACTATTTCTTATAGGGCTGGGAATTTAGTAAAATGTTTAATAAAATTGTTTCTGAATTTCAACATTACAACATTTCATTTAAAATTTTTTTCAGATTTTCCCACAAGGTGCCCTATAGAATATCTTTATTGTATGCTATCATCTGCAAATTTTGTAAGGATAATTTTTTTTAATTTAATAAAATAGGTCTTAGAATCGTTGAAATATATATTCATTTATTATCTTAGTTTGATTTTGATACACTTGTGATATTTTTTTATAAAATACAGAAATATTTAAAAAGCAAGGTTATTTTAACCTAGAAAAAGGCCCTACGAAATCTGAAACAATCTAGGGCTTTTGAGTGTCAAAAAATTAACTCTGTGAATTTTTTTAAAACTTTTAAAATCCAAAATGTATTGGAATCGGTATTGGCAAAATAAACAGATGTCTATATAATTTTTGCTGTAGTCAAATTAAATTTCGGTTCACATGCCATGGCTTTTCAATTATTTTTTAATGTTATAAAATATTTTTAAAGGCCTATCTAGATTCAAACACATCTAGTGTACGATAAGTGAAAAAAAATTGAGCTTTGGTCAATAATTTTTATGATGTAGATTTACATTTATCATCGGATGGATGTATTTTTTCTGTACAAAAATTCCTATTATTTATTCTTTATATTTTTCATTTCATAAAATTAGTACGAATCAAAAACAGTTTTTTCTTTAAATTATTAAATCAATTTTTCTCATTTAAGTCTTCTTGAGTCATGCAGAAGAATATGTATAAAAGTTATGATATATATGAAATGAATAAAGAAAAATCTGTTCATACACATAAGTTGAAAAATAGAAGCTGATTTCTGATTTTTTGACACGCCAATAGTTACAGGATCGGTATCGATAGAAATCGAACGCTTATATAATTTACGTCGTAACAAAACGAATGCAGGGTCGACGACCTTCGACGCTAAAATATTCTAAAATTTTTGAGTATTGCCTAAACATCTATTTAAACGAAATACGCAGATAAATGCATTTTTCACTAATCATAATTTTGAATTGAATACCATGTTGGGTTTTTTTTAACGAAAATACATTTTTATGCGAGAGAAAATCATTTATAATACTCGAACATAATATTATTATATTATTATATATTAAAACTTTCAAAGAGTTATTCAAATATATGTACGAAAACAAATGCTGGTAAAATTTGAAGCGATCGTTATTGCAATTATTTACTAACTTTTTAAATTCTTTTATTAAAAAAAGTAAAAAATTGTTGACGTTAAAAATTAATAAATAAATAAAATATTGAAGAAAGCTTGAAATATCATTCGCAAATATTTTGAAGGAGAATATCTTTCTTAAATATTTACGCTTGTAGAAAGTAAATTACTTAAGAATGTTGATCGTAACTCTAGTTTCTCTCAAATATTATAAAGGATAGTCAGTCTAATTTGAAGTAAGTACGTCTCAGAAAATAAACATGCATTTATTAATGTGCAGCATCTCACCTACTTCTAATATAATATTAGTAATATACTATTAAGATTCAAAGGAGAAAGCTTGACCTGATTTTTATGAATGCATACGTTTAAGAAAAATATTGTTAAAATTATTATCGGTGGTAATAACAAATAATAAATTTTATATTCTAAAAGAATAACATACCTTTGGATTTATCGTTCGCGCTTTGTAAGAGATCTGTAGTAAATGAACATCTGTTATGATAGCGATAAAAGTAACTAAAACTGAACAAAAATATAACGGTTAACAAATAATTTATTATTTGAAAAGTACACAATTTAAGGCCCGCAAGAATTATAGATCAATAGTTTTGTATGTATGAAAACATTCCTCGGATGCATATATTAACTGAGCGAAACTTTCAGATCCCCTCTTTCACGATCACGAAATAATAAAGGTGGACGTTCTTTTCGTTCAATATATCAAATATTATCGCGGCGAAAAAAAATCAACAAAATTTTATATTCTTTTAAATCCAACAAAAAAGTATTATCCTTATACCCTGCGTCGCACAAAAGCAATTATATTTATATATTATTAATAATATACTCAAATATTTACCAGTAAAAGGTGGCCTTAAATATTATCAAATAACAGTTCATTACCCCAAGGGACTAATCTTTAACTTAAACATATTGATATCTTGATTGAAATAAATTAGAAAATTAAATATTTGAAATTGATCGTTAGCTGTACGATAGTATTTTCAGTACAAAAAATCAGTCTTTTGGGCAATACGTAAGATACAAGATCTGAAACGATTTAACATAGTAATGTAATTTAAAACTAAATATTTTCCCTCAAACTAATTCGTTAGATATCAAGTTATTTTTGTAATTAAATCAATATTTTTTCTGTGTTGTGACTTATTTTTAAACTTAATTATAAAGCTTCTGTAATTTATTTTTGACAGTGTTGAAAACAATTAAAAATTAATTTTCTTTCTATTATTGATTTTTACGAAAATTTGAGTTTTCAGTAAATTTTTAGTTTTAATTAGATATTTTTTTACTAGTATTTGAAGTTTTATATAAAATATTTTTTGATATAAAAAACGAAAAATGAATTACGATACTTCAATATCTTTTTAGTAGTTATTGCATGGAATTTTACCGATTATATTGGTGGTAATAATGAATGACATATCTAGAAGAAAATTAATAGTAATTGATTTATTTGCCACAATATTTTAATGTGAATTTAAACTTTTTTGATAACTTTGTAAAATTTTGTTGGTTTATATTTTAACTTTTTATCACGAAGCACCATGTTTTGTGAAGTAAAATCTATTAATAAAGTTTTTATTTAACTTTCATCTTTTTGCTTCTTTTACAACAAAAAATCTTTTATGTACAACTTCACTTCAAAAGAAAAATTAGTTTAGTATAAATATCAAATAAAAAAATCAGTTTTCCCTGAAAATCACATGATCTTTCAATCTAAATAATTACCCTAAATTATGAGCTATGAATTTTCTGTGAATTAATAGTGTGAAATTTAAGTTTATAATTAATCATAAGTTTCATGAATCATAGAGAAGATGCATATAAATTTACGATGTTAAGTCATTTATGGATCCACATCAATCTGTTATTCAAAGTGATCAGGAAGCTATGTTGGGTTCATTTGAGCTACGGTTTGTTTTCTGGAATCAAATAGTCATTAGGTCTTAAAAAATACTGCACGAATTGAAAATATATCTGAAATGCTCTGAGCAGTGTGGGTAATAATGAACCACGTCTTAAATACTTCAACTTTCATTTAACTTGAGACCTTCCTCCCTCCTCCCTTTCAAGGCTGTACAATTTTTCTGGAATTGTTAGCCAAAGAAACTGTCTTTAATTCTCAGGTGCGCAATAGAGGAAACCATTTTTTTTTTTTTTTTTTTTTTTTTTAATGGGAGCGATGGGCTCAGTTTATTTGAAGAGAAAAATGTATTACAATACATTTGTGTATTTCTGCTACATAAGATATGTAGGGTAAGAGGTGGAAAAACATAGAGGAAACCATGTGATCTGAAAGAGTACATATAGTAAAGGTAAAACTGAATCTCTCTTCAGATTTCTAGCTTCAAATAGCCTTAATCCTTCGAAGAAGGGAAAAATTCAATTCGCTTATTTAAGCCGGACGGAACGAGACTATGATTGGGATGACGTTTTGCTGGAACAGAGTAATTAACAATCTTTGGACTTATTCTATTGAAATGGAGATCTGGGATTAAGGGTGGGGTTTCTTTCAAAACCAAAAACGCAAAAAATAAGATTATTTCCTTAACTGGAAGAAAAATAATAACTCAGTAATATTAAAACAAAAAAATTATAAAAACTTTCCACTTTCGGCAGATGTTTATTGGATATAAAAATGTAAAAATAAAAATTAATAAAACTCAGCTACAAATGACGTTCCTTTTGCATTTATTTGACATCATGTTTTTTTAATCACTAAGAACTAATCGTTGTTGTACACAATTGTACTGTTACACATTATACTGGAATACTTCCGTAAATTTCGTTTGTTTGTAGATTTTGAAAGCTAGTATTTTTTTTTGAAGTTGTGCATTGCTGAAAAATAAAATAGACCATTTAAAAAAATTTTTCATTAATTTTATATTACAACATAATATTTTTAAACTATTATTATTATTATTAAATATATTAAATATATTTAATTAAAAATTAAAAATAATTAAATATATATTAAAAAAGTATATGTTAGTATATTTGGTCATAGATAAAATATCATGGATCCGAAAATACAGGCTAGTTTCTTACTTTGAGCTCAGATAGGGTCTGGGACCTACTTGAATTTCTGAAGTGGGTTTATTAATATTTGATTGAAATTACAATGTTTTCAACGGCTAAAAATTAATTACAAATCGGTTAGAGAGTATTTGATATTTAATGGCAATCAGGTCCCCATAATATTTTTGAAATTCCTTTCAGCTATTGGAAGGAATTTAGCTCAAGATGGAGATAAAGACAATAATGAAGATCGACGTATTGATTCGACAAGGCTAACGTATGTTGCTGCATTGAATTGGCTTAATGTGGAGATGCATGGAGGCTCCGCTTGAGAAACTGAGACGACCAATGCGCATAGTGGCTACCGGAACTCTGTGTATAGCGCCTATAGCAACTTTAGAGGTACTCCTAACAGGTTTTCTCTGTACACGGTTGATCGGGATTGAGCAGTCGAACTCCTGACCGATGAAAACCATTAGGTACTATACGATGAACCTCAGGTAAACGCAAGAACAGCTGATGAAGATTCAAGGAAGAAAGAATGGATGAGAGAAAAGATTTTTATAGAGCTAAATGGAAGATATTAATCACAGATTGGAAAGAATGTATAAAATGAAGAGACAGACTAGCTAGACCTTAATCCAACTAATATACAAATGGATCGAGTAGATTTAAATTCAGATACTGCTGTAATATCGATGAAAGAAGTAAACCCACGTTTTAGAAGTATCGTCTATCTTCAGCCTAACAAGCTTTAAATAGGGTAGTGACGAACAGCAGGGTTTGACTTCAATGGATTCGGGACCATTCGGGTATCCTTGAGTCTTTCGTGGGAATGGTCAAGTGTTCGTGCAAGACTGCCTTTAATGATTGGATAATTCAAAACCATTCTAGATGGTGGACGATGGGTGCAGCTGCGGACTGGACAAATCGAATCTGAAATTAACCCGAAAAAACTAGGCTAGAAAAATCTTGGATAATGCAGAAGCCATATCCAAGACTCATAATATGAATGGTGACAGGTCACGGTGTTACATGTAGAAGGGTGGCGAGCATAAAGGAGGAGGTTTATGCGAGATATTTTAAATCTTAAATTCGTGAAAATTCATGCAATGACGTTTTAAAAGTATACTTCATTTAAAAGTGCGAAAATAATTGTTTAAATTGTTATGGGGTTTCTTGATACGATAGTATTATATCGTATAGTATGTTCATACGTTGATGTAGTTCATTTTATTAGGAATGTGCCACAAAATTAAATTTGAAAATTTAAATTATTATAATTAGAAAAAATGTACTAAGGTAAACAATTAGAGATTACACTTACGACGTGATTCTTTTCCCAGGTTTTCATTGCTGACTTGTATTTTTCAAATTCATGGCACCAATCAGAATACACTTTTTGATAGTCGTTTGGTTTAGATGGAGATGAACATCTATGAGCATCGACTGTAACATTGTAGGAACAAAGTAAAGATCCTCCGAGCCAGCAATCATATCTTCCGGCATCTTGCTCATCAATACTTAAAATGACTAGGCCTTTATCTGATGTTTCGATAAACTTTTCATTCGTCAAACCATGAATTTGATTCAACTGATATCGACCCTTTTCTTTGTTGTAGTGAAACCATTGGACCATTTGATTTTCAAGAACTTCAGGGATTTTAACGAAACAAGCCAAATAAACTGATTGACCCCATGTAACAGCTAATTTTCGTTTACCAATACTATTGTCACAAATGCTAGAAGTATGATTCGAAACATCTTGAAGATAGCTAGAACAAAAAAACATCGATCATTTACTTTCGATTAACTACCAATTATTGAAATCTCCAGTAGTAAAATATTCATTCTAACATCAAAATCAGTATAAAGTTGATTACTAAAATCAAATTGGGGACACAGACTTTTTTTGAAAGACAAGGAATCTTTTCTGCAATATACTGGTCACTGTTAATGTAAATTCTATTTTTTTCTATACATCGCTTTTATCTAGGACTATTGAAAATGGTCAATTTAACTCAGTACAGAGTTCTTAAAATACGATTAATGAGTCATTTGAATCGATCCACCATTGGACTGTTTACTTTTTCAGGTCAAAATTGCATTTCCGTACTAACCTAAATTTTATTGTGAAGTTCAGTAAAAAACTTGAGGTTTTATAACTTACCCAACATTGTAAGGTTTGCACACATTGTTATCTTTGTCCCAGCCACAATACGGGTCACGGACACATCTCAAACAGTTATCGTAACGACGAGAACACATTACGAGATCGATTTGTTTAATTCTGTAATCCGTTGTGATATAAAGAGCTTTGTGTTTTTGAGATATAGTCATTGCTCTAATAGACTCGTCTGGCGTTATATCAAATATATCAATCAAAGTTGACTGTGCCTTATTATCAGCATCTATCCATTGAACAATTTTATACACCCGTCCTTTAGCTAAAAGATAGATAGTAGAAGATATTAAATTATTCACAAAACATTTCAAAAATATGAATAAATTGAACATTTTAGTGGTTCAATAATGAAATAAAATATTGATAAATATTTTTCTTACTTGAGCCTGCGTAGTAAATTGTAAAGTCTGACTCGACTCCAGAATAAGTAACTTTGACCCTGTCCACCACAAGTTGCGTTAAAAGTAGATCGCGTTTATAAAACACGGGTTTCTCATTCTCATGTGTTACAGCTGAATCCATTAAGGGATGAGATCGTATAAAATTAAGTACTGTATCTGGCAGTGTTTCAGTGTCATTTACACATTGACCTGGTCTTGGTTCTGGAACTTTATTAGATAATACTGGGAGCCATGCGCTACTACTAGTTGCTTGTTCTTTGAATTTTCCACGGAACGATTCTTGAATCGCATCAATGTGGAATGAACAAATGGCTGAACCCATTAATCCATTTCTTGATGTAGTAAAAACAGCGTAAAATCGTGTATCATCGTCAGGTATTTTATAAACACTCTCTGAAATTGTTCATGAATAAAAATTAAATTGATTCATAACAACATAATATTAGTCAAGCTATTAACCTTATATCAATCAAAAACATAAATTACTTGTAGCATAATAGCAATAGCAATATAGTTTTTTCTCGTAGATTGTAACCCTGTCAAAATTTTGTAATACTAAAACTTATATTTTATAAACAGGGTTTATAAGAGTATCTAACTATTTTTGGTGTGATAGGGTCTGGTGAAAATTGTAAAAAACCCGAGTAAAAGCTACATTAGTGCAAAAAACCAGGAGCGCCAGCGAAAAAGCTACGGAGCTGCACTTTTCCACCAAGCGCTTATTTATTTATTAGGGCAGATTAGTTTATGAACTAGATTATTACGAGACTTTAGGGATATGAATCTAACTTCTGCAAACTTAAATTTAGTTGGTAATCGCTTCTTGACCTAAGCTTAAGAAATATAAATAAGGGTAAAAATTATATTTTATTATCTCCGTTTCAAAATGTGTAAAAATTACACATTTATGATTTATGTTCGGAAAAACAAATACGCAATTAGGAACGGAATTCGATAAATCTAGTCTTTAGAGGCCTTTTAAAGTATTCTAATTTTTAACTGCCTACGATTTCGTGGTTAGATAAAAAACGAATTATCAAAAATAAAGATTTGTTTGAATTATCTCTAAGTAAGCATAAAAACGGGTAATAATAATATTCAATATATTAAAAAATAATAATTTATATAAATTACTTACGAATTTCATTGAAATAGAACGGAAATTCTCCTGGTATAGAGCAATTAAGTCTTGTTTTCAAGTATGTAGCCCAATTTTGGGAAAGTATATTTTTCCCACCAGTATCTTTTTTGCACACTCTTGCCACTCGAGAATAAATACTTTTACCACAGTTAATATATTCAACAGCAGTTTCGCGGAAGAAAAAGAAAACGTGCTCGTCAACATCAAAGGCGCCGACAAAATTAGGTTCTGAAAAAGTACAATATTTTTATTATATATTAAATTAAATATTAAATGATCATTATAATTCATACTATTTGCTCATAATGTATTTTAAGAAAACTGAAATTAATATTATTTTTAACGTACAGTGTAAATTTATCAATAAATGAAAAAATATTTAAGACGTGTTTCAACAAGATTACGGAATATTACAAAGCTTATTCATCCAAAAATTTTGATAAATAGACTTTATAATGTAAACTATGCAGACGAGGACAGTATTGGCAGTATTAGAAGAGTTAGATTCTATGTGGATTTACGTGGATTTCGTGTGGATTTCAACTTAGATATTATTATCTCCACAATATTAAAATGCAATCGGTATTCCCTTGTTTTTACCTTAGATCTTACAACTTAGAACCTACTTAGCCCAATAAAAATAATCTTAATATCTTAGGCTGACTTATTTAGGACCTTCTTATCACCGAAAATCTGCAACGGCACTGATTTTTTCTAGATTGATTTATTCGTAATTTTTCCGAGGATCGCTATGATCTTCCAAATGCGAATATACGTGAAAATTCAAAAGTACTTCAATTGGGAATGGACAGGAATACCTAGGTGGAAATCTATTTCAAATCCACCTCTTTTACGAAGGGATTCAATGTAGGTTTTGATGTGAAAATCTAGCTGTTAATTACTACTTTTGTGGATATCAAGTGTTTCGCATAAGATGTATAAAACTAGCAAAAAATAAAGTGAACAAGCCAAGAGAAAACTAATAAAAAATACCAACCTATTAACTTAGCATTAAAAAAAAATGTTGGAACCATTTATGATTAAATTTTACTTACTATCCAACCATTTAGAATCATATTTGAGAGTCCTTTTAAAATTATACTGCTTTCGACCAGTTGTAAAATTATAAAGGTCTGTCCTGAATATAACTGTATCTGCCTTAGTAAATTCGGCATTTGTTCCTGAGTACAAAGCCGGTAAGTCGCCAGGATTTCCATTTTCAACCCAAACAGCTGTTGAATTATCAGCAGGATCATAAGGGCATTTTGCTATACCCATCCCCACACCAGGAACAAATTCATGACGAGATAAATGAGTTAAATTATTCTGAAAAATATAAAAGTAATATTTCGAATTAGATAAACTATTGTCATTTTATAATTGTCTCTCCCAAGAAATAAAAAGAAAAAAAGTTATTATACAAGTCTGAGCTACGAAAACTGTTTTTTGGCACAGTTTTGTTACCCAGTACATTAACAATTGTGAAAATTAAACTTTTTCGAAGACAAATATTTGGGTATATTTACGGTTATTTTTAGTTTTATTTACTAGCTTTAGAATTTTGTGTACGAATTTATACTGCATAGACAAACCGATTACTAATTATTTAAAAATATATCAAACATATAAAAACTTTGGGGACCATTTACTTTGCAATTTTAACCATTTTTGTTCGTAAATAAATATCTTAACATCTATCTCAATGATTCTCTCAGTATATCATGTTTTGGTTTACTTAAAATAAAAATTATATAATGCATATAGTTTTCAATAAATATTTCTGGTATACGTACATTGATGACCCAATCTTTTGGAGAATGTGCATTTGTACCACATATGTAAAGTCGATTGCCATTCATAGGTTGAATAACTCTGATATGATTTCTACAATCAAAGTGCTGAAAATAAGTAACAATTGTAAAGTAAAGTGTAATAAACTTGATTACATTTTTGAAACCAATTGCAAATCGAAAAGTTATTATTTAATTGCGTCATTATTCATTTAGAATTTGAGATCAGCAATGGCTCAAATCACTCCATGCTTCCCTAAGTGGACATTTTATAGTCGATAATTTTAAAGACGTTGATTGTCAATTAAATTTCCAACCGTTATTTTGAAATATTCCAGCTTCAAATTCTAATTTACGAATCGGAAACAGAGAAGAATTTCATTTCGAAAAAGTTGTATCCCGATAGCATTGCTGGAATTCAATCAAAGGACGCCACGTAAAATCAACAATGAAATGTCTACTTGAGAAATAGTACTTTTTTTTTAAAAATCGTGATCTTGAAAATAAAAAATTATACCTCTGACTTTCCTTTTGAAACACAGTTTGGAACATTTGTTGGCTCCAAATTGAGCACATCTTTCTGTAATTAAAATTCATATGATTATTCAAAAAATCACTTGAAAAGTAATAAAATATTATGAACTTATATGTGTTCATAGTGAAATCATTACAAAAGTCAAATTCATCATAGAGGATTACAAGTTTTCGTTGTAAATTGAAATAAACGCAATTGTTTCATAGAATAAAACTTCATAAAAAGTAATTTAATTATAAATGAAAGTACGAACCTCGCAACTAGAGTGGCTGATATTACTCAAATTGAGACGGAATATTTTGTCCCTAAAAAAAATTTAAGATTAATTTTACTTAATATATTTGATTTTTATGGGTTTAATATTACAACTGATTTATAATTGAAATTTCTATGGAGTTAAATCTTGGGAGGGTTTTTAGCTTTAACAATAATAAACTCCTAAACAAGTTTTTGTCTAGTAAAAAAAACTTGCAGTAGCTTAATTAACAAGGAATTATTAAATTTTATAGCACTAAATGGATCAAGTTCTGCATTAGTCGCCCTCTACGGCACTCCATTGTATTCGCTACACTCGAGCGCTAATCTTACTCCACGGTACCAGAAATTACGACTTACACCTTAAAAAAGGGGGACATAAATATGAACTCAGCAAGCTGCTGTAGAATTTTAGAATCACTTTCCAGCACGGGTATTAGAACCCTCACTGCGCTCAGGTCCTAAACCACGTCATACAACTCAGTGTTACATATGGCCTTTGTATAGTAGAAAATTATAATAGCAGTACGAGGTATTATTTCACAATTAAAGCACTCTTTGAAGTGATATAAGTCAAGCCCTTAACTGATTTTAGGGGACTGATTGGTTTGGATAGTAACATCTCTATTTTTACACTGGAATGCGTTGCCCTCAGGGAGAATGTGAACTAATGCTTGAATTTGGGTGGCGAGAACTTTCTGATTTGTCGAAACTCACTGAGCGATTTATTAGGTTTAAAGTCGCGTAACCTCGGAATGATAAGGTGCTATCTGCTGTTGCAAAGTATATGGGAACGTAACGATATGGATCCTTTCGCATATTGACATGAATGACAACGAGATCAGATACTGCTGATCGATGAAAACAGTCCATAATTCGAGCTAATTGGAGAAGCCATAAGGGATTTCAAAGTATTCATGATTGAGGAGAATTTTAAAGGACCGAAATGGCTTAACGACTTTGAAATAAGCTGGAATTGTACAAGCGAGTTTAATGAAATTAGTGAAAACTTTGAAGAATAATAAAATGAAATTATGAAAAAGGTTGATACGTTATTAAAATCCGGACTCAATGCCACTGGGAGACTGAGAAAATTCTCAGGCAAAATTATTCTGAGACACTTATTTCGCCACCATGAAAAATGCTGTCAATCATCGCAAAATCATTCATTCCAACTATCAGGGAAGAGCAATAAACAAAAAAATTACGTCAACAGTTATTACGAAACGTGAAAATGATGCTTGGCCATTGTAAATAAATAGTAAAAATAATGAATATAAAATAATAAATAATTATTCATATAAAATGAAAAATAATATTTAAAAATAAGTGTTTCTTATTTCTCGAAATGATGTTTTATTCAAATTTTCAAGATAAATTTAAGAACTTTTGAAGTTTACATTATTTCGTATGATAAAAGTGATTATACATATAAATTTAATATTATAATTATTTTATCTTTGTAAAATTTATATTAAATATTTTTCTTACACTTACTATACAAGGAGAGAGGGGGGTTTGTCAAATCTTACTATCTCTTACATGATCACGAAAGGGGTCAACCAATCAAAAAATACTCTTACGTAATTAATGGAAGGCCTCCTAGTTCTGTACAATATTTTTTAACAAAGTGTGCGGTAAGTCAATTTTAATATGATCGGCCGTGAGTAAATTCAGCACTTTTCAGAGTGATAAAAAAATCTTACTAGCTAACCCTCGATTCGAAATTTACCTTAAGTTCTCAACTATTCTTTTATTCAACTAATTAGATAGGAGGGGGATTCTCCTTCAAAAAATGTTACTTTTTTTCAATACTTACATAGCTCCAACGTATAAAAAGTCATTATTGCTGTCTAAATAGACTGTCCTATAGAATAGTGGTCCACAAGTAAATTCTCGAACATGATCTGCAAAGTTTAAGGCATAATTTTTGAATTTGTAACATTTTAATTTTTATAAACATAAACCATTGAATGATAATATTTTATTAAAAATTTTAACCGAGATTTCAGTACAGCTGAGAACTGAATTATTTTATGAGTAAAAATGGTTATATTTTCTAAATATAAGTACACCGATTCGACTTCAATTTTAAAATGGTGAGAAAACGTAAATACAGCGTAGTAGGGGATCTTTCCATGTTACTACTACACTATTGTTAATATTGATTCATACGCTAACGCCACGAGCTCATCCTACTTCGGTATTTTTAATTTTTCTCGACATTTCAGAATTGAAGTCAAACTGGTGTAGTTAGAGTAAAGTAGTACTGTAAATTGTTATCAAGAGACTAGAATATTTTTGTTTGCATATCAGAAATGTAGAGACATATCCAAAAAAAGGCATACATCTTACTTTAACGGAGATCTGGTTTATAACCTAGAAAATTACACAATTTTTGTAAATTTATTGTGAAGTATAGATGTTATTTAATCCGGGACGCCCCATCAAAAGTATCAAGTTATCAAAAGAATATTTCCCTTGAACTTTAGGCTCCTTTAAAAAATTTTTAAAATGAACATAATTTTAAAAATAGTCGTTTTTTGATAAGGAATCGAATAGTGACCTTGAATTTGACCTTGAAAGTAACCTCAAAGCTACAGTGAACCTAAATCGATTTATTACACGTATACCCTCCCGCCTCCCCTGTTAATTGCAGATTTAAGCAGAGCAGGAAATTTTACTTTGAAGTATGGATTTTATTTTTTTTTCTAGGTCATTTTGAGGGCGCCTCACAGGAGAAAGTCTTTTCGTGGCTGACGCGAGCCAGCTGGCCACTCGCGACTTTGTCGTTTTCCGAGCATAATCAGTATTACCCGTCGAACCGCAATTTGTGTCCGGTCACTAATAATCGTAATAATTGTACCGTTTGTTGACAAATAGAAGTAGATAGTGAAAAACCCCTTAAAGGAAATTGGGCACAAGTGGCGTTTGCTCGTAATCATCATGAAACAGCCCTTCAGAATAGTCGCTGAGATTCCGTTTGCGACGGATTGGAAAGTCAACGCAGACTTAAACATCGTTTCTTTTTTATCAAAAACCATTAAACGATTCTCGCAAAGATTTCACCCGCTACAAGTTCGAGAAGAAATTTGGACAAAATGGGACAAGACCTGAACTACAAATAACAGTACATAAAAGTCCCAAAGATTACGCATGTGACAAGTGAAAGAAGACATTTGGAACGACTTTCGTGATCCAAACGGCTTCTCACAATTGTTACATGCGGAATCTCTGCGACTCTTATGTAAAATCATTTATAGCTCAAGACGAGTCCCAAATTGCCCAAACCTCTTCTCGTACTTGCAACATGTGACGTCTCCACGAAAATCGTCAACTGGTTTTGAATATAAAAAAATGATGTTCAGTTCTAAATTTCCTTACAATACGTCCCAGACACCATCTCAGCGACTATCCAGGAGGACTATCTCTCGATGAGTGTAAGCAAACACCACTTGTGCCCAAGTTCCCTATAGATACCACAGCCTCTTGCCGGGATACTCCGAGCTGTCTTATCGATAACACGTGGCCTTATGGGAGAAAGTCTTTNAAGGAAATTTAGAACTGAACATCATTTTTTTATATTCAAAACCAGTTGACGATTTTCGTGGAGACGTCACATGTTGCAAGTACGAGAAGAGGTTTGGGCAATTTGGGACTCGTCTTGAGCTATAAATGATTTTACATAAGAGTCGCAGAGATTCCGCATGTAACAATTGTGAGAAGCCGTTTGGATCACGAAAGTCGTTCCAAATGTCTTCTTTCACTTGTCACATGCGTAATCTTTGGGACTTTTATGTACTGTTATTTGTAGTTCAGGTCTTGTCCCATTTTGTCCAAATTTCTTCTCGAACTTGTAGCGGGTGAAATCTTTGCGAGAATCGTTTAATGGTTTTTGATAAAAAAGAAACGATGTTTAAGTCTGCGTTGACTTTCCAATCCGTCGCAAACGGAATCTCAGCGACTATTCTGAAGGGCTGTTTCATGATGATTACGAGCAAACGCCACTTGTGCCCAATTTCCTTTAAGGGGTTTTTCACTATCTACTTCTATTTGTCAACAAACGGTACAATTATTACGATTATTAGTGACCGGACACAAATTGCGGTTCGACGGGTAATACTGATTATGCTCGGAAAACGACAAAGTCGCGAGTGGCCAGCTGGCTCGCGTCAGCCACGAAAAGACTTTCTCCTGTGAGGCGCCCTCAAAATGACCTAGAAAAAAAAATAAAATCCATACTTCAAAGTAAAATTTCCTGCTCTGCTTAAATCTGCAATTAACAGGGGAGGCGGGAGGGTATACGTGTAATAAATCGATTTAGGTTCACTGTAGCTTTGAGGTCACGTTCAAGGTCAAATCCAAGGTCATTATTCGATTTCTTATCAAAAAATACGTCGGATAGGAGGTTTTCGATTTTTTTTTAAGCACACCTTGTGAGATCTTAAAGGGTTTTCATAGATTTGTCGCTTTTTGTTTGTTTCTACTTTCTTTATAATTTCAAACCTAGCTATGCGGGTTTCTGGTCAATTAAAAATTTTTTTCCTGACGTCAAATTTAAGGTCTAGATGTCAACTCTCAAACCAATGTATGAGAGTTTGAAAATTGGCAATATTCAAAGCAAATTTAGTCAGAAAAAAGCTTCGATAGAAAACGGCTATTTTTAAAATTATTTTAATATAAAAAAATTTTTAAAATCGCTTTGGGGCATGGGTTGAAATTTTTCAAATAAGCCGAAATTTCAGGGGAAGTATTTTTTTTATAGCTTCATACTTTTTAAGGGGTGTCCCGGATAATTTGAAAAAATCGATTTTTATATTGTCAGTCTAATATTTATAAACGTCATGACAACCTACGCATCGCAGGCAGAGCTAAACATTTGTTTGGCTGCAATATCAATAAGATCGTTCTGCTGGCAATACGGCTCAGTATACATACGGGTTTTCAGTTCATGTGACTAATTTTGAGATATTTTCCCAGGAAACAGGATCGAAATATTTGGTTTCCCTTTTTACGATTAGAATCTTCGATCTGTTTTCCGTAAAAATTAGCAGTTGAAATTGCATGAAATTTGATAGTTGTTATTCGTGAATCAGTTTAAAAATTAATATGCAAATTTACATTTTTAGTGATGAATTAGCCAGAAAAAACTAAACTGCGCTATTTCCTTCATGGTTCAAGATCTACTGTCTACAAGTGTAATCTGCATCTCATCCATTTTCTAGCTCAAAAAAAAAAGATACATAATGTAGTTTATATGTACTTATTGTAAAAAAAAATATATTACATTGAATATTGGCTCTATGAGACTTTCCTTAATATCCAAATTTTTTCATTTACCAATTCAGAAAAATTACAGGTGTGTTATTATTGTGGTCAAAATAAAAAATACCACTGTTTACTTATAGGTACATAAGAAAATAACTGCTTATTTGATCACTATATCTTCAATGGACTGATATTTTCACTCACATTATTCTAACAGTTTACTAAAAAAATTTCTGTAATGAGCTCATAATCATTTTTTATAGATAGTTCAGAAGAAAATTTAATTTTTCATGTCTTCCGCTGTAATTGCTGGTTTTTTTTCAAATGAGTTAGTTAAAAAAAAAAACTAAATATTATAATGATTTCTATACATGTTAAATTTAGCTAAAATTGATAAAATTTATCCAATTTCTTTTCCCCATTACAGTGAACGTTAAGGGTTCAAAATAAATTTATCCATTAAAACTGAAATATATAAATAAAATTTTTAATCACAAGCAAATTTATATGCAAATGTGCATATAAATAAAACTTACTCATAGGTACATTAAAAGCACTTGCTAATGAAATTTTTGTATATTTTGCAAATATGAACTTCAGTACTCGTGTGTTTTGTTTAACATCGATGAATTAACGTAGATGAAAATTAATAATTAAAAAATATTATAGTATAAGATATTGCATGTTAATTTTAGTACCTTTATGATGACGTAAATGAGAATGTCCACAACAAGGTTGTTCAAAATAAACATGACCAGGATGAGTGCCTTGAATGCGATTAGCTACTGCATTCAAAGTAATGAAATACAGTATGCTCGCAAAAATGAATATGAATGAAGTCATTGTTCTTTAATGATCAATTAGAATTAATTCACATTTAAATCCATTTATCGTTTACTTAAAAATAAAATCACATGAACATTTAACAAAAAACTAGTCGTTTGTTAGTGCACATTCTGAACTTGTTAAGGTATACTATATACTGGGATTTCAGTCTTATTATTGATGAACAAGATCAAGTCATGGGTTTTTGTCTTATATTATATCGATATATTATATCGACTTATGAGATCTTGACAATGACACATTAATCACATTTGAAAGTCTGTCTTTTGAGATGATTGTTATTGATATTGTATTTAAGTTGTGTACAAAAGGCTACTAAAAGCCGAGTCTCCTTTTTGTGTGAGTCAAGTTGTCAAACATAGTTGAGATGGACTGCAGAATTATGGCTCACACACGCGAACGCGGCGAGAACGAATCGTTTTCATAGAATCTATAACATGCCGCAGCGCCTCTATGCTCTCAATTTTCTAATGATACAGCCTGCAACCGCAAATAATTAATTGTATGATTATATTAAGAATTAATTTGACTGCATTGGTATTTTGTTAATGGAAAATTAAATTAAATGCTTCTCTCTCTTGACTTTTCATGTATTCAGTAGCTGGGACTGATCCAGCTGTATATAAATAATCGCCAAATTAACTGATGGATTTGACTGGAATTTCATCTGGATTTTAACCGGGAAATCTAGCTATATTCAAATCATTCAGCTTAATTTTTACCTAAATTTCCAAGTCAATTTGAATTGTCCTGGTAAGTATTGAAATAGGTAGGTTAAGGTTTGTTGATAAATGAGTGCACGGCTTTTAAATGACATAAAGACCAAACAGTGATATCAAGATTTAACAATCCTATTCCGTTTTGCGATACATGCAAAGGACTTTTATTCGAACAACAGAATTTCAGTTTACTTGCATGTATGAGAAATGAAGTTGACTATCACAAGATTTTAAGTAAAATTAAGTATTTATTTGTTCATACAAAATTATCACGTTATTGTATAGGACGTCGACGACTAATTTAAGTCTTGAAAAGCACAATTACAAAGTTAGTAAATTTATTATCAAATAAATTATTGAGATTAGTCAATTTTTTTTGGTTGATTCTCAAATTTGAAGTACAATTATTGCAAATTCAACACAAAATATCAATAAAATAAGTTAAGATTTAAAAAAATTGGTTTTAAACTTTTGTAGCGTAGGTGCAATAGATATTCAATGGATTTTGATAGCATAAAAAACATTGAATGTCCATTTACATGGAAATTGGAGCCAAAACACACTATTGCCATTGGAAATGAATCTATGTTGTATGATTATAAATCATCACCTGTTGGTAGTTTCATTAAAGTGAACACATTAGCATACATTCGATCTATGCAAGGAAATTTTGATGACGCAGAAGAATTAATTGATGAAATTAATTATGTTTGGGACATTATTTGTGAAAGGTTAATACAAATAAAAACTTTCAAGATTATTAACAAGGACTAAATTTGTATATACCATTGTTACAGAATTTCAAAAGAAAATGATTATTCTGTTGATGTACTACTACACATAAAATATGCAACAGCTTTTTGTGTTTATTCAATGAGTAGAAAGAAAGACCAAGCAAAAGCAATGGAAATTAAAATAAAAGATGCTAAGAATTTCAATTCTGATATAGAAAAAGGAACAATATTTGGATCTCAGGCATTTGCTTTATTGGTATTTCTTGAGAGAAATATTGATGCAGCCTTGGAAGCAGCTAAATTGGCTATTTCATATGCTCCCAATTGTGAATTGTGGCACTATATACATGCCCAGTGTCTTCGAACCAAAAGACGTCAACAAAAATTTGATTTACCTGTTTCCATAGAAGAAGAAAATGGATTTTTAAAATGTTATGAGCTATCACCATCAGTCGAGAACATCAGTCGTGTCGCTAGAATGTACAAGGAGAAGAAAAATTGGGAAAAATCTTCAGAAATGTACAATCAACTTTATTTGAAAAAGCCCACTGATTTTAATTCAAATTTAATTCTTGCCTTACACTTCATTGGCCAAAATGATCTTATCAAAGCTAAAAATTGTTTAGATTATTTTGAAAAAAATCCAGAACACAAAACCAAAGCTTACTATCATTATCTGGGAAAATATTACGAAAAATCTGATAATTACCAAGTATGTATTTGAAACGTTGACTAAAATATAAAATTTTTAAGATGAAATTTTTTTCAGAAAGCAAAAGAAAACTATTTGAAAGCTCTTGGTGATTCAGGTAATTTTCCTGCTGATATGGACCATCTTAAACTCATTCGAAAGATTTCAAGATCAAAGTTTGATTATGAAGAAATAAAACACCTTAAAAATATGTTAAAAAGATATGAAGGTGACAAAATTAATACAGTATTTATATCATTAAATTTAGCCATGACTTATTTATTTAAAAGCAAAAATTTAAAGCTAGCAGCTGATTATTTTTTAAAAGCTATAAAGATAAATCCTTGTGATCCACAGTTGGAGGTAAGAATTTAAAGCATTTTATCTCATTAATTAAATTGATTTTATTTAAAAAAATCTTATTCGGTTCAGAATTTCCAGATGACTTTCAGAGATAAAAAATATAATATTTTTGATTTAATTAGTAGAAATATCCTAACAGAAAATGAAAATAGTTATGGAATTACTTTGAAGGAATTGAAAAATTATTGTACTGAATATAATAACCGAGCGGGGAAGAACAATGTTCCAGATTAACTGTAATAATTTTTCAAACCAAGTTGGCTGAAGTACTGTCAATTTGAAAAATAACATTAATAATTTATTCAAGTGAATATCAAAGCTGAAAACTTGATAGTTTTTATACCATTTACAATTTTAAATTAAATAAGTGTTATGAGTGAGAAATAAATACTTTACGTCAAGCATTAATTTCTTTTAGCATATGAATTCTGAAAAAATCGACCAAGTATGAAATAAGAACAAATTTGTTTGCAAATTAAAAACTAGTCCACATTGTTTAAGAAAATCGCTCAATTTCCACCTGTATTTGCCTGGAATTTCAGTTGGATTATATCGGCGAAAATCTCACGTTGGCTGGCAGCGATTTTCAGGATGTTTCCTGATATCGCATTTATAGTAGGGTTGAAAAAATAGAATTACTATTGCAATATGTTAAGAAAACAACGTTTTATTGTATGAAATTATAATTCTACAAGATATTCAGTCGATATTAAATTACAGTACTGTTTTTGATAAACAGTAGGCTCCCGCAAAGTTTTTCGTTTTACTTTTAAACATCAATAGGTGAGACGACGTGATATTCGAGCAAAAAGAACTAGAGTGATTTCTGAAAATTTGATTCATTTGTTTTGAAATTACTGGACGTAACTTCGCTGGCGAGACGGAACGACCTCCAGTTATATGGAACCTGGAATTACATGGCAATGAAAAATCATGAAATATTGCATATTTTTTATTTTTTTCTAAAATATTTTGAACTTATATATCTCAGAAAAGTCTATCTTTTTATAAATTAAATTAATGTTTAAACCTGGTTCGTCATTTTTAATCAAGAAATCGGTATTTCTACGCTCACGATCGTCAAATTATTTCGTACCGATTTTATTAATAATCAAAGAAAATTGTTTTTTATAAAGAAAAGCCTAATTAAACTAAAATAAATATGCCAATGACATTTGTTTCTCAATAAATTGTTCGTTAAAATCACCTGAATCAAGTTTCTTAGTTAACATTACTTATTGAAGTGAAAGTTTTTAAATATACATCAATCCAATCATGAAAAACCAATAAGGCACATTTGAATCAGTTTTCTAAACTATAACTGTTATCTTTATATATATTATGGTTAGAAAATTAGATAGTTTTTAATAAAATAAAGTACGAAATAATTTCTATTTGTCAGTAATTTGCAACTAGAAATTTTATTCTCTGTTCCTAAGTTAATATTATCATGATGACATGCTAGACAGTAAGATGAGTGTTTTACTTAGTAATAGTGAACAATTGATATACCTTATTTGTTTTTTGGGCTTTGAAGCCAAATTATTTTCAAAAATATCTTGTTTATGAGTTCCATTTTTAGATTTTTGCAATGTTTTATACTTTATTTTTCTATGAACTATTGCTGGTGTATTTCTTTGATAACATTTATCAACTGTTCTTTCTTCAAGCATCAAATAAGGCAGAATAGAGTCTCCAAAGTGTTCAGATATAACTGAATGATTTAAAATTATTTTTCCAGATTTAATAAAAGCACATAGCGCCAACTGAAAAAAATATCATTAGTAAATTTATAAATTTTTGACAATTGTTTTGTAATGTATACTCACAGCAATTTTATGCCATAAAATTGTTCCAGGTTTACCGTGCATTAATACATTCTCTAATGATAAAGAATGATCTACATTTTCTTTAAAAAATATTAGTGGGTCAACTCCCGCAATTAGTTCAAAAGCTATTAATTTTTTTTTCTTTTCATATTTATCATTTTTAATGATGCTTTTTAATTTAGGGATGAATTTATTAGCTACAAGGGGCCATTTGAGCATAAGATTCAAAGAGCAATGTTTAAAAATACTTTCTAAATTTGAATTTATAAAACCTTGCCCAAGCAGTAATTCCAATAATAATTCTGTCAATTTGTCTACCTAAAATTAAAATAAAGTTCAGTTCAGTTCAAGATATTGAAGATTAATAAAATTATCTTACAGAATGAAGGTACGAGGAAAAAACTGATTCTTTGTTGTGTGTTATGGCTATGATAAGTTGACAAGTCCGAAGAGATACTCTTGTGTATTGTGCATTATTAGATATAACTAAAAACCTAGCAATGGACATTAAATAATCCACCACTCCTTCTCCTCCTAGATATGCATTTGAAGAGCAGTCATGAAGAAGCACCTATAATTTAATGATTTAATTAAACATTTCAACAAGCTTTCAAATATAAAATATAATCAAGCACACAACCTTGAAACTTTTTTTGGAACCATTTAATAAAATTATTAAAGCTCTTTTAGCATAACAGCTCCGGGTGACTATTGACTTACAATCAACTATTTCAAGTTCTAAAATTTAAGTACATTTGTAATTGTAACAGTTGTAACAGTTTAAATTAATTAAAAAATGAATTACGAGACAAACCTTGTATGACTGGATTAGAAGTTTGAGAGACAGAGAAAGGCTGTTTTAAATGTGAATGAAGATCCATAATATTTTCATTGGGAATAAAAAGGTCCAGTTCCGATAGGAACTTTGGAATTTGGCTTGATGACCCTAGTACTGGATCTGTATCGCATAAATGTGTTATCACAGCATTGAGATCAAAAGATGTTAAGAATCTCTTATTGCTGTGCTTCATTCGCATCACACATTTCTAAAGCAAAAGAATAATAAATCAAATATTAAACTTTTGAAGGTATATTATCAATGGCATACAATTCAAATTATTGCAGATATGTAACAAACTTACATATAAGACTTCACGCAAATGGTAAGAAACATCTTGTGCAAGTTGTTTCGTAAGAGTATCGGGTAATTGTTGCAAACCCAACTCCTCTCCAATTGATGAAACCCATTCTTTACTTAATACTGCATAGTTTTTTGAAGTGTTATTAATCATGCTTCTCATTTTCTACACTGATAACACTATTAATTAAAAAAGTTCAATCCAATTTCACTAGCTAATGCATGTCATAAATTTTGAATTGATTTTGGATACTAAATTTAATTATAGCATTATTCACCAAATTTCATCAGTTAAAACTTTATTTTTAAAAATATGTGTTTAAAAGTCGTGATAATAAAACTAATAATACACGGATTTTAAAAATAAGCATTGACTTATAGAGCTAATCTTAACAATCTATGTTGACTCGGGAATCGACTGCCGACAGGCGACAACATTGATTTGACAAGTGCGGCTTTTTGTGAAGCGGGTCCGCGTATAAACGCGCTACACTACACAAGTTCTTACAGACAGCAGAGGTAAGTTTGTTATGTGCTGGTCACGCGAGTACGTAACAAAATAAGATCGAATCCGTCCGGACTGTCGAAAATGCCAATTTTTAATCAATAAAAAAAAGGACAATCGATTCAGAAAAGCGAATTTAAAAAAAAAGAAAAACAAAAATTTCAGAGCTCCTTTTGAAAGTGGATGAGCTTGACTTTGTGACCGGATCAAAACACAAGCGTCTGTCACCATTTCCGAATTCTAACGACCCATTGTAATTGTAAATGAACCTTTAATTATATACCACGTTCCTTATATTCTGCGCAGATCTGGCATGTGTCGCGTTAGAGACTAGTGTACTGTTAGCGTTCATAGAGTAATGCTGAACGCCATAATTTTGAAGTCACATTGTCGCATTAAGAATAACTCATTTTGAAAGAAGTGTTTGATTTCGGATATTTTTCAACAATGTCCGATCCGAGTAGCAACGGCAGAGGTCCAGTTCCGCCGAGATGGCTGCACTGCCCTCGAAAATCCATGAATTTAATACACAACAAATTTGTTGCTTTCAAAACACCGTTATCCTCGGATTTCGACGATCAGGTACCAGACGAATGTCGCTTCACAGTTGATATGTTGATTAACAGTTTACGAAGCTCTAGGATAAAATTAGGTTTATGGATAGATCTAACGAACACCAGTAGATTTTATGACAGACAAGAAGTGGAAGCGCACGACATAAAATATTTGAAGCTGCAGTGTAAAGGACACGGTGAAACACCATCCAGAGAGCAAACGATGGCTTTCATTCAAGTGTGTAGAAATTTTATAGCGCAGCATCCTTTGGATAGCATAGGGGTTCATTGCACTCATGGGTTCAATCGGACTGGATTTCTTATTGTTAGTTATCTCACTGAAACAGACGAATGCAGTGTAGATGCATCTTTGAGTGAATTTGCTACAGCTAGACCTCCTGGGATTTACAAGAAAGATTATATTGATGAATTATTTGCTAGATATGATGATATTGACGATGCGATTGAACCTCCACAACTTCCTGCTTGGTGCTTAGAATACGATGACACAGATCAAGATGAAGACTCAGGCGAGCCACAACGAAAGAAGTTTAAGAAAGAGACATTTAATAAAAATCCTATATTCATGGCTGGTGTTCCTGGGGTAAAACCTATCCTGGATGTTCAAGTAGCAACAGGAATATGCAGACGAGTTCAACAAATTTGTCATTGGGATAGTACTGGTTTTCCAGGGTCTCAACCAGTATCTATGGATGTACAAAATATTGAGTTCCTACATTCTAAGCCTTACAGAGTTTCATGGAAAGCTGATGGGACTAGGTATATGATGTTTATTCAAAGTGGTGGACAAGTTTATTTCATTGATCGAGACAATAGTGTTTTTCAAGTCAGTGGATTAACATTCAGAAACATTCATGATAGTAATAAATTATTGAAAGATACTTTATTGGATGGTGTAAGTAAATTTGAAATAATAATGAACTATTGACTATTTCATATAACTGTTGATGGTTATCTTATTTTTCAGGAAATGGTTATAGACAAAGATAAAAACAGAGAATATCCTAGATATTTGGCATATGATGTTATCATGTATGATGGCAAAGACGTTAGTAAATTGTATTTTTATCCCGACCGATATAGCATTATAGAAAAACAAATCATAGCAGGAAGACATGAAGCCATGAAGACGGGTAAAATAATTAAAGAGAGAGAACCCTTTTCCGTTAGATTAAAACAATTCTGGGATATAACACAAGCATCTAGTTTACTTGGTGAAAAATTTACAAAGCAACTAGGTCATGAACCAGATGGTTTAATTTTTCAACCTAGTAAAGAGCCTTACACAGGAGGACCATGCTCAGACATTTTGAAATGGAAGCCAGCTTCTCTAAATTCAGTGGATTTCAGATTAAAAATAGTTACTGAAACTGGAGAGGGAATATTAAAAAAGAAAATTGGTGAATTGTATGTAGGACAATTGGATCGTCCATTTTGTACAATGAAATACACAAAGCAATTAAAAGATTTAAACAACAAAATAATTGAGTGCAAACGAGAAAATGACCAGTGGATATTTATGAGAGAGAGAACAGACAAATCTTTTCCAAACTCATATAAAACAGCAAAAGCTGTGTATGCTTCTATTATGGATCCAGTGACAAAAGAAAAGCTTCTTGCTTACATAGAAAATCACAGATTTTCTAACGATGATACAGACCTTATGCCACCTCCAAAAAATAAGCATAGATAACTAACGAACAATTTATAATAAGTTCAATTATTATATTCTGTTACTGTAATGAAACATTTTCATTAAGATTAACTGACAAATGCATACTAAGTTTTGGTTGTAATTGGTATGTTTTGTAAATATTTTTTTGCTTTCTTGTACATTATTGATATAATGATCTAGTAAACAGCAGTTTTGTGTTTTATAATTGTATTGAAGTGTTTTAATTCAATAATAGTCTTGTGCCATATCATACATATATGAGCTCCATACCTATGTCAGCGCTGTGTAATTCAGTTCATAATTGTCAATAGAAAATTTATAATTTGCATTTATGTAAAATTTAAATTATAGTCTTGTTACGCAATTGCGACTTCAAAACATCTTTAAAAAATATAGAAAAAATACTATCAAGACAATGGATAAGATGGTAACAATGTTATCTAGCCGTTGCGATTGTTTTAGATCCAATTTTCATACAATATTTACAGCGCAACTCTTAGATACTGAAAATTTTTTAGAATATTTCTTGTATGTGGCATGAATGCAGTAAGAGAATGTATTCAATGATACATGATAATTTCATTTCCTGTCTAATTGCCAAAAACTGAAGGTTAAATGAAACTAGATGACGCTTAGTTTTTACGAAACTCTTTGAAATGACCGTTCATTCTCTCAGTGACCCCAGTCTTTTTCAAAACAATGTCAGAAATGATTTCTAGATTTTTCTTTTTTGAGTATTCTACCCGAATGTGTTAATCATTGAAGCGTTTGGGAAGATTCTTTTCTATAAAATTAATTTAAATCATGCGCCGTCATTCGGGTATATCTAATTTAATTTTCTACTTTACCTACATTACCTACCTTTCTATATTTTTTACTCTATTATCGATAATTTTTAACTTATTTATAATTTATTATAAATATAATCAAACTGAAGTTGATCGAACAAGCTACCAGAAAATATCAACGACTCAAACTTTTAAATATAATAATGCAAAAAAATACGTGTTGCATAAAATTGTCACCGTAGTGTGACCAGAACTTAATCCGCTAACCCCCTGACCAGTGACCACCATAACTAGTTTGGAAACCCCAGTAAGTGCAGTACGTCCAATGTATAATAGAAATGTATAAGATTTTTACTACAAATTAACAAATAACAATAACATATATGATCACCACGTGCTTGCACATGGCAATCTTCATTTTATCTAAATAATTATTTTTTCACAGCCTACACTGTTTAGTGGTGTCTCATTTGATGTAGTATATATTTACTATTTAGATAAATTAAGCTGTCATCGTCAGATGTAAATTATGATTAAACAAATGAGATTAATTGAAGAATCACAAATAAACAACGAGATGACGTGTAACCTTAAACCTCCAAATCATTATCATTAATTGCACTTTTTTATTAACGATTACCCAATTACAAAATCTCAATAATACAAGTGATACAGATGTATATCTTTTCACTTATATCAAACCACTATTTTCATCGCGCGCTTTATTATGTTATTAATTATTATAAACAGATTAATATTATTCAAATTCACTTTAAAGAATTGAACGTCGTATCGGATCATCATGCGATGCTCAAACGTACGCTTGAGAGACAGTATCAAGTTAATGAATTTATTATTGCTACAGTTATTAAACTAAACAAATAAAAGCAGGTGTTTCACGGGTGCCTCAAAGCATTATAAATAGCAGGCCTCAACTAACGAATTTCGTTCAGTTGCCTGCGTTCATTCAAGCGAGACACATCTGGTGTTAGTACATTACAATTCTGACTTCTTATCTTATATTGTAACTCGTGGCGTGTAGATTGGAAATTGAGCGTTCTCGCAGGTGACTCTAAAATTTGTAGAACTAGTGATATTCAATCGAAGTACAACGCAGTGGCTGCAGAAAGTGAATTTGGCACAGGCATTATGGGCTTACATTGAATTAGTAAATTAATTTTACTCTGATACTTTTTCATAAAAATTATTATTTAATCATTTATTTTACTTAAGATGTGAGTACCGCTAAAAACGTAGGTTATTACGAGTCAATGATTATAGTTATTCATTTTTTAACGAGGCTGGTCCCGATTGAACTTTATTTATAGTTTATAAATAATCATGCGCATTCAGCACTTTTCTCCTACGGTACTACTTTAGGAAGTATAAAAATAAAATGACCTTGTTCTCTTATTTCCTTATTTTTTTAAACTTCTTTTATTATTTTGATTTGTTTATTATGATCGTACAATTACGTTTTTTATGCTCCTGGGGATAGACAATTTTGTCTAATACAGAGGGATCATTCCACCATTGATTACTATATGTCAATATGGTTGCATTATTCAAACGTTCCCTGGAAAATCCATTTAAACATTATCGTTCTTAAAAGATCATTGATATCTCAGGTTCCTTTTGTTACGACTCGTCGTGAATGTCACGTCCCTAATACAGGGTTGAACGTACCCTTCTTGTTTTTGTTTTAATTTAATTACTTTAAATTTAACCCCGATGCGGCTGAATAGGAAATGAATTAGATGGACAAAGTTACTGTTGTGTATATCGCATGCTCTATCACGTCCGTCGTTCCTAATTTTTCACCTTTCAAATGGAACACGTCATCAAATTCTTTTATTAACTCAATTATCTCTTTATGGCATTTATCCGTTTTTTTGCTAATATCTAGGGCTTCCAAAACCTTATCTACACGGGATTCGCTTTTGTATACATGTTTCGGCACATTCTCAAAGTTTTCATCAATATTCAAAATTCTTTCATAACAATGGTCAATTTCTTCTATATTCCCTATATAACTCTTACATGATTCGTCGCACGGGTTTATATTTTCAAAGATCTCTTCCTCACTGCAATCGCCGTTAACGTTTTCTATTATTTTCTCTCTGTTATCTATTTCTTCTTCGTACATTTTGGCTACCTCTTTATTTTTCAAATTCTCTATAACATCTGCCTTATTTCCCTTGCAGATACTCGGAGACGCTCCCTTGGCGTTTACTTCCGCTATTTTGCTACAATCTTCAATTTGTTCACACAGAACCTTCGTAGGTGCCATTACTTCCAATGAAGTCTTAGAATCACGTTATTTTATATCTTCAAAAGTTTTATCTGACTGTCTCTCACTTACGAGCGCTTGTATTACTTCACTTTTCTCCTGTACCCGTATAGTCGCACCATTCTGCCACGGAGTGGTGTTGTGTGACTGCATGAGAGGGCACGACACAAATGAGTGCAGGCGACAAAATGCACAAAATCAGCAAAACGTGCCCAAGCAAAACGCAGACAGTTCAAGTGGGCAAAGTTCTAATCAAAATAATACTGGAAGCCAAGGTAAAAACAGTAATAATTATTATAATAATGGAAACCGCGGCAACCAGCGCTCATACAACAATAACAATAATTACAACAGAGGTAATAAAAATTATAGTATCGGGAAATCGAACTACAAGAAAAATCACCAGCAGAAAAGCGGAGACGGGGCGAATAATCCACCCGTAGGGAATAACCCGAGCCCCAACAACACGCAAACAAACGCCCCAGCGAACAACAGTACTTTAAACTAATAGAGTGTCCGGACCCGTCCTCAAGGACTGGACACGAAATGGAAAAACTAGAGTACAAGATAGCGCATATAAGGTGCTTCACGTCGGGTAGAAAACCACCCTCAATCGAGTGGAATAACGACGCGTTCATAAAGAGTAAAAATAATTTCTTTGTCGACTCAGGAGCCGAAATCTCAATTATCAAAGAAAGTTCAATCAATCTTCTATTCGCGGAACAAATAGATACGGGACTACTCTACCAAATAAATGGAATTACCGATGGAGTATGTCATACAAAAGGCAGTATAAAAGCCCATATTAGAGGCCTGCCAGTCACACTACATATAGTACCCAGTTCAGTGCCGCTCCAGGCAGACGGACTACTCGGCTGGGATACAATTTCATTATATAAAGGTAAAGTTGACGCAGAGATAAATGCTCTGACTTTGAACGGCGAAACTCTCCCGTTCTTAGAGGAAGAAGTCATCGAATTACCGCCGCGAATGAGAAAAATTATAAGAGCTCGAGCATTAAACGACGAGCTGGTTGGTTGGGCACCCATTATGAATTTACACAATGATGTACTTTTCGGAAACTTTGTTGCACAAAATAGGAGCGGATGGATATACGCTGAATGCATTAACACAAGCAATAAAACAGTCTCCATCCCCACTCCATTTGTTCATTTGATACCTTGCGAACAAGCAATTTACGCAGAGGCGCAAGTCGGTGAGGACGACAGTGCACTCTGCGCTCAAAAAATTTTTACTCTAAGAATTGATAACGCTGCGGCCCCTGCCGAACAAAATCAAGACCTTGAACGTATCAATAAAATTTTTAAACTTATGGATACTGATGGTTGCGACGAAGCCGAAAAAGAGGCAGTACGCGACCTCGTCGCATATAAACCTCATGTCTTCGGCCTAGAAGGAGAGCCCCTGCCTATTTCCAATGTCATCACATGCAGTATTGAAACAACCACCGAAAAGCCGATCGTACCAAAATACTATAGATATCCGCCGAAATTGAAAGCAAAAATGAATGAAGAACTTGAAAAATTGCTTAAAGGCGATATCATAGTACACTCCAAGACGCCCTGGGTAAGTCCACTATGGATTGTACCCAAGAAGACTGTAGATGCAAAAGGTAACAAGAAATGGCGTCTTGTGACCGACTTTAGACAACTGAACGAGGTAACAGTCGGATACTGCCATCCCTTACCCTTAGCAGTGGACATCCTCGAACGCCTGGCAACTGCGAATTATATAAGCTGCGTTGATCTCAGAAGCGGATTCTACCAGATAGCAATGGATCCTGACTCAGCTCATAAGACAGGATTCGCAGGCCCTAATGGAACTTACGAATATAAACGGATGCCCATGGGGATTAAATCGGCACCATCAATATTCACCCGTGCCATGAGCCTTGCACTGGCCGGCCTGCAAGGATCAGAGCTAGAAATCTACCTAGACGACATCATGGTCTACGGTGAGACTCTCGAGGAGCACAACAAGCGCTTCAAACGCATGCTGGATCGGCTTGAAACCGCCAACATGTCCATCGAACCAGCAAAGTGCCAGATGCTTAAAAGTGAAGCCAAGGTACTCGGGCATATCGTCGGTAAAGGAGTAATCCGCACAGACCCAGCGAAGATCGATGCGATAAAAAACTACCCCGTACCGACAAA